CTTAATTACCCCATGCACGGTTGTTGCATGTCTTCACGTTTCTTTTTTATTTCATTATTTAGCCGTGTAAAAGTTCTCAAGAAGGTAAGTTGATAAAACCCAGCTCATCTTTGGTTCAGTGCCACCAACCATACAGCAAAGGATGCAGCACATGTGAGGTAATGTAGGCACATTTGAGAAGTTGAAAATTATTTCTCCTCAGATTTTTCAGTCAAAAAATCTGTTAATTTGCTCCAGATTGGGAAATAAATTTTTTGTCTTTTTTTTTTTTTTTTTTTTAGAAATACACACCATGCTGGTCTTGGAAGGCAGTGGAAACCTGGTGTATACACAGGAAGTGGTTCGGGTAAGCAAAAATACCACTCCATGCTATTTAGTAGGCTTCAGACTGCCTCTCTATGAATATTTTTTTTTTTTTTTTTTGGGGACGGAGTCTGCCCAGGCTGCAGTGCGGTGGCGTCATCCTCAGCTCACTGCAGGCTCCGCCTCCCGGGTTCACGCCATTCTCCTGCCTCAGCCTCCCGAGTAGCTGGGACTACAGGGGCCCGCCACAACACCCGGTCCTAATGTTTTATTGATATTTTAAGTTTGTTATGTTCCTGCCTGCACAATTTGGCAGAAGATTTTTGTTAATAATTCTCAGTGCAGCTTCCCATTCAGGTGGGTCCTAATTTGGAGGGTTATGGCTCACTGCTATTAAATGCGTTGGCACTCTAAACCTGTCACAGATGGGAAACTTTTTTTTTTTTTAAAGTTAAACTAGTTTTGAAGTTGAAGCATGGGTACCTTTGGTAAGTACTAAAGTTCTGGTAAAGTTTCATTATATTAAATGTGTATGTTAGCTGTATTTTTTTTAACATTTGTGAAATATACACAGAGAATGTACATTTTACAAATTTAAATTATGAAATTTAAATACACACATGCAATTTGAATAGTAATGAAGTGAATATTCATATACCCAGTATGCTGGTTGAGAAATAGAATATTGCCAGTATCCTTATTTTTATTATGTTCTTTTCTGATTGTGTCCCATCTTCCCCTGCCTTCGAGATAGAAGAATCCTGATTTTGTGATAAATCAGTTGTTTATATTACTAGTTTTTACGGTTATGTATGTGTCACTAAAAGATGCATTATTTAGTTTTCCTTGTTTTTGAATTTTTATATGGAAAAGATACCGTGTATTCTCCTCTGATGTACTTATTTTGCTCAATATTTGTTTTAGATTTGTTGATGCGTAGTGTTGTTTACTCATTCAGTGTTATGTATATATTTAATAGTGTTCCATCGTACCTCGTTTTGTGCTTTGTTTTATTGTACTTCACAGATACTGCGTATTGTTTTTACAGAATGAAGGTTTGTGGCAACTTTGTGTTGAACAAGTCTGCTGGTCCCAGTTTTCCAGCAGCATGTGCTCATTTTGTGTCTATTATTTCATATTTTGATAATTCTTGCAGTATTTCAAACCTTTTTGTTATTAGCTTATCTGTTATGATGATCTGTGATCAATGGTCTTTGATGTTACTATTGGAATTGTTTTGGGGCACCATGAACTGTACCCATATAAGATGAGGAACTTAATTGATAAATGTTTTGTGTGGTCTGCCTGATCATTTGACCCCTTTCCTGTCTCTGTCCCTCTCCTCCTGTCTCCCTATATCCTGAGACAAAACAATATTGCAATTAGACTAATTGTCTGGGTGCGGTGGCTCACGGCTGTAATCCCAGCACTTTGGGAGGCCGAGGCGGGTGGATCACGAGGTCAGGAGATCGAGACCATCCTGGCTAACATGGTGAAACACCGTCTCTATTAAAAAATACAAAAAATTAGCCGGGCGTGGTGACGGGTGCCTGTAGTCCCAGCTACTTGGGAGGCTGAGGCAAGAGAATGACCTGAACCCGGGAGTTGGAGGTTGCAGTGAGCTGAGATCGCGCCACTGCACTCCAGCCTGGGCGACAGAGCCAGACTCTGTCTCAAAAAAAAAAAAAAGAGAAATTAGACTAATTAGTAGCCCTGTAATGGCCTCTAAGTTTTCAAATGAAGGGAAGAATCACAAGTTTCTCACTTTAAATAAAAAAACTAGAAATGATTAAGCTTAGTGAGGAAGGCATGTTGAAAGCCGAGATAGGTTGAGAGCCAGACTACTTGTGCGCAAGAGCCAACTTATTCATGCAAAGGAAAAGCTCTTGAAGGAAATTAAAAGTGCTATTTCAGTGAACATGGCAACTGATAAAGCGAAGCAGCCTTTCCACCGATACGAAGAAAGTTTTAGTGTCTGGACAGAAGATCAAACAAGCCATAACATTCCCTTATGCTGAAGTCGAATCCATAGCAAGACCCTAACTCTCTTCAATTCTGTGACGGCCGAGAAAGGTGAAGAAGATGCAGACGAAAAGTTGTAAGCTAACAGAGATTGATTCTTGAGGTTTAAGGAAAAAAGCCCTCCCCATTACACAAAAGTACAAGGTGAAGCAGCATGTGCTGATGTAGAAGCTGCTAAGATAATTGACTCAGGTGGCTACACTAAACAGATTTTCAGTGTGGATGCAACAGCTTTCTTTTGGAAGAAGATGCCATCTAGGACTTTCATAACCTGAGAGAAGTTAGTCCCTGGCTTCAAAGGACAGTCTTACCCTCTTGTTAGGGGCTAATGCAGCTGGTGACTTTAAGTTGAAGCCAGTGCTCATGTACCATTCCAAAAATCTTAGGGCCCTTAAGAATTAGGCCAAGTCTGCTCTGCCTGGGCTCTATAAATGGAGCAACAAAGACTGGATGGCAGCATGCCTGCTTATAGCATGGTTTACTGAATATGTTAAGCCCACTGTTGAGACTATTGCTCAGAAAAAAGATTCCTTTCAAAATATTACCGCTCATTGATAGTACACCTGGTCATCTAAGATCTCTGAGGGAGATGTACAGGAGATGAATGTTGTTTTCATGCCTGCTGACACATCTGCTCTGCAGCCTATGAAGGAGTAATTTTGACTTTCAAGTCTTACTATGAAATACATTCTTTAACTAGAACTGCCATAGATGGTGATTCCTTTAAGGGATCTGGCAAAGTCCATTGAAAACCTTCCGAGCTGGGTTCAGTGGTTCACGCCTGTAATCCCCCACTTTGGGAGGCCGAGGCAGGCGGATCACAAGGTCAGGAGATTGAGACCATCCTGGCTAACAGTGAAACCCTGTCTCTACTAAAAATACAAAAAATTAGCCGGGGGTAGTGGTGGGAACCTATAGTCCCAGCTACTCTCGAGGCTGAGGTAGGAGAATGGCTTGAACCCGGGAGGTGGAGCTTGCAGTGAGCCAAGATCGTGCCACTGCGCTCCAGCCTGGATGACAGAGCGAGACTCCATCTCAAAAAAAAAAAAAAGAAAAAGAAAAAGAAAACCTTCTGGAAAGGATTCACTTTTCTAGATGCCATTAAGAATCTTCGTGATTCATGGGAGGAGGACAAAATATCAACATAAACAGGAATTTGGAAGAAGTTGGTTCCCACCCTCATGGATGACTTTGAGGGGCTCAAAACTTCAGTGGAGGAAGTCACTGCAGATGTGGTGGAAATAGCAAGATAATTAGAATTAGAAGTAGAGCCTTAAGATGTGACTAAACTGCCAAAATCTTATGATTAAACCTGTACAGAATTGCCAAACTTGAACAGAATTGCCAGAATCTTATGATCAAACTTGAAGAGTTGCTTCTTCTGGATGAACAAAGAAAGTGGGAATATACAGAAAACAAATATTAAATGGCAGATTTAAATCCCACTAGGCCACTAATTAAATACAATGGTTTAACACAAATAACAGAGACTAGCATATGGGATTAGAAAATACCGCCCAACTATATATGTTGGTTATAAGAAGCTTTCTTCAAATATAATGACATAGGTAAGTTAAAGGATGGAAAAAATATATATTATGCAAACAATAATCAAAAGATAGCTGGAGTCACTATAAAGTGGGGAAAAAAAATGACCAGGAACAAAGAGAGACTTTAGTTAAAGGGCCAAATCATCAAGAAGGCACCCTTGAATATTTTATAAATGTCAGTTAATTCCATTTGGTTGATAATGTTGTTCATGTCCTCTCCATCCTTGGCAATTTCTTTTTGATACAGTGTCTCGCTCTGTCACTCACGCTGGAGTGCAGTGGTCAGATCACAGCTTACTGCACCCATGACCTTGTGACTCATGCAATCCTCCCACCTCAGCCTCCCAAAGTGCTGGGATATTACAGACATGGGCCACCGCACCCAGCCTGGCAAACTTTTTATGTAGGAGTTCAGACAAGTATCTATCTTAGCCTCTATGGGCCACACGCAGTCTCTGTTACATATTTGTCTTTTTTTTTTTTTTTCCTTAACCATTTAAGTACGTAAAACCTATTCTTAGCTCACAGACTGTACAAAAACAGGATACAAGCCAGATTTGGTCATGGAACATAGTTTGCTGACCAAGGATCTAAATAGATGCAGAGAAATCATTTGATAAAATCAAATATCTGTGATAAAAAAAATTCTCAGCAAACTAGAAATAGAAGGGGACTTCCTCAAATAGATGAGGGACATCCAAAATTTTCACTGTGTCTCCTGGTGAGGAGGAAGGGAGGGCCATGACTTTTTTCTTGGTGTTTGCAAAGAGTAGGGCAGGTATAGTGAAAAGTTTCTGTCCTGATTGGACACTCTTTTCCCAACACTTTGGCTGGAAAGAGTAAGAGTTTCTTAGGGCCTATTTTGTCTGTGAACATTGGAATGTCTGTGTTGCAGACACTTTGAAAGCCTGAGGCGTGGTTATGTAAGGAGTCAAAAAAACCAAAAACCTAGGGAATTCATCATTAGGTCATTCCTGGGTCTCAGGTTACTAGCCAGTTGGTCTTCTTTTCTTTACTTTTTCAGAATCTTCTGTTACTTGCATTATAAATTTTTTTCAGTTTTTTTTTTTCTTTTTGGTGATTAATGGGGGAAATAGCATGGTATGTGCTTATCCCATCTTTTCAAAATTAGGGGTCTGAGATAGCTTTTAAAAAATTATGCATAACTAGTTCTCACTGTTATTTTTGTTTTTTAAGCCTAAGGATTTTATTGGTGCAACTCCTATTATTTTGTTAGCTTTTGAGTAGTGTATTAACATGAATATGTATATTGTTAAGATCTCATTTTAGTTCTGAGCATCTCCTTTTTAGTCTTACCACGTTTTCAGCCTGTACAGATGTGAACTTCTGTTTTTCCTAAGTACCCTACAGATAGCCAAAATAAGGAGTGGTTAGCATGAATTGTCAACTCATTCTTTTTTTTTTTTTTGAGACGGAGTTTTGCTCTTGTTGCCCAGGCTGGAGGGCAATGGCACAGTCTCGTCTCACTGCAGCCTCCGCCTCCTGGGTTCAAGCGGTTCTCGTGCCTCAGCCTCTCAAGTAGCTGGGACTACAGGTGTATGCCACCACGCCCAGCTAATTTTTGTATTTTTAGTAGAGATGGGATTTCACCATGTTGGCCAGGCTGGTCTTGGACTCCTGACCTCAGGCGATCCACCTACCTCAGCCTCCCAAAGTGCTGGGATTACAGGCATGAGCCATCGTGCCCTGCTGACTCATTTTTTTTAAGATCAAAGAATTTATTCTAATTTATATAGAGTATTTTTGAGGAAGAAATAATTGAGAGTTTATTATTGAAGGCAGATTGTGTGCTGGAGAGCAATTTGAATAGGTTGGATTTAATTTCTTGAGCATTATCTGACCTTATTTTCTAAGCCCCTGGGGGATAATTGGTGCTCTTTCTCTCAAGATTTGAGACTTCTAAGATTGTTGCCTGTAGTCTCTGAAAGCTTAGTGTTCTTACTGTCTTTATGACCAAAAGGTAAAAGAGTGCATAGTGTACAGATTTTTATAGAATGTGTTGACTATATTAACGTTCCTCTCCTTGCCTGCAAAAAAAAGTCTTCAGTAATGAAGAGAAGGAATCCAACCAAGAGAAATTATACCAAGTTGTGGGAGACCTAGGTGGGCAGATCGCTTCAGCCCAGAAGTTCAAGACCAGCCTGCATAACATGGTGAAACCCTGTCTCTACTAAAAAATACAAAATTAACCAAGTGTAGTGACATGTGCCTGTAGTTCCAGCTACTCTGGAGGCTGAGGTGGGAGGATCACTTGAGCCTGGTAGGTTGAGGTTGCAGCGAGCTGAGATCATGCCACTGTACTCCAGCCAGGGTGAAAGAGTGAGATCTTGTCTCAAAAAAAACAAAAACAAAAACAAAAACCCAAAATTATACCAAAATATTTGCAGTTGGATGGTGGAATTGGATAGATTATTGACATTTGAATTGTTTCTTTGTTGTGTTTGGTGAGCATAAACTTAGAAATATCAAAAGAAATATATGTTTACGTTCCTTAACATTTTATTTAAGGATATGATGCATTAAAAGCAATATTTTTTTTCCGCATGTTTTTATTGCTTAAAGGTGGGAAAGGTTTTTATTCCTGGACTGCCAGCTCCTTCTCTGACGATGTCCAACACAATGCCTCGGCCCAGTACTCCACTTGACGGCGTTAGTACTCCAAAACCTCTTAGTAAACTCCTTGGATCATTGGATGAGGTAAGAAATGGACTAGGTGTTGTCAGAAAGTTAACATTTTTTTAAAGAAGTTTGGTCAAATATTAGTTCTTTCCATGGTTAACTTAATTTTAGTTAGTACTTGGAGAATAAATGTTTTCAAACAGGAGTGATTCAGTTAACATACATTGACCTCCCTCGTGATGTGTGTGATACTTTTTGAAGGTGCTGGAGAGATGGAAATGATACATTCTTTTCCATCTAGGGATCTCACAGTTGTGTGGAGTTGATGTACTGTCTGCATAAGAAATTAGAATTTAAGAAAGACTCATGACTTACGAATGAAGAAAAGAGAGTACCATCGTTGATTGACTGATGGGAAGATAACATCCAATGGGAGGACATGGCAAAATCAAAGCCTCATCTCTGAGGCTGTCAGTCTTGGTTTGGACCTTGGGGATGAGTAGGATATCTGTAGGTAGAAAGGAACATTCAGGGCAAGGAGGAATCACACAGGCACAGGCAGGAAGGCCAGATAATGTGGAACATTTTTTAATGGATATTTGTATCTTCATCTCCTAATCATTAGTTAAGGACTCAATAAATCTGTAGAATAAATACTTATAAAAGTACAAGTAGGGTGCGGCAGGATAGAGTTTGGATAACAATACTCTTTTTTGAGCATTTTCTATGTGCTAGGCATTGTTCTCAGTGCTTTATTAGTATTAACTATTTCCTTAGAACAGCTTTATTGAGAAGATACTACTATGAATCTTTTTTTTTTTTTTTACAAATGAGAGGTTACAAATGAAATAAACCTAATAAGTGGTAAAACTGGGATTTATACTCTTACTAATGTGCTCTTAAAGGAAGAAAGGATGAAAAGGTGGTTTTATTCTGAATGCAATTGCCAGGGCCTTACAGGATTTTGAGAAAGGAGTTGCGAGGTTTTGGATCTGTGTTGTAGATAGGTGTATTTTGGGATTAAAGATAAGGAGACCAGTTAGCCTCCAAGTGAGGTTGTCTGTGTCAGTGTAAGAAGTATGAAGAGGGTCTGAATATGTGTGGAAAGGAGGGAATAACATGAGAGGCCTTGAGATGTGGAAATGAGTTTGTCAGCTGATTGGTTTTGTGCTCCTGGGCTGGGGAAAGGTGATGTCACATGAGGCTCCGAATTCTCTGAATGACCTGGGAAGGTACCTGGATTTACCAAGTTAGGAAGCCTGGAGAAAAGTGGTGTGTATTTAAAGAACATGTGAGTGTGGATGTTTAGGGACAGTTCAAAGGGAAGGTTATTGTTATCAATTGTATTCGATAATGTCTGTGTCTTCATTGTATTTTTAAACATGTGCAACATTGAATTTTTTCCTTCACACCAGCACATTTGCAGAACATTCAAAGGGGAACTGGAGAAGTGTCAGAGTGTTTTGTGTGATTCGGAAGAATTTCTTTTATAATGGAAAATGATTTCCAACTTTTTTAGAATTCTATAAGCCTAGTAACAATTAGTGCCTTTTTGATAGGTGTAAGGTCATGGAAATAATAGTCTAACACATTGGCTGATGGCTTTTCCACTTCTCTGGAAGATTTTGCTAGTAGACTTAGAGCCAGGACCAGTGGAGCTGAATTTTTCCTGGTGACTTTTAGAGTAGAATCTGGAATAGAATAAATACATCTTAGTCTTGATTGTCAGTGTTGACAAGATATTCACTTAGAGATATATAAATTGAATTAAAGGAACCAAAAAAGGATCAGTGGTCATGACTGGAGAGTAAGATTGGAAGCATCTGCATGTAGATAGTAACTAAGATTATTTAAATTTTTTGTTTGCATATCTGCAGTAAAGCAAATACATACTGTTCCTGTATTTTTGTGTAAATAATTGCCTACAAGGGAAATGCCACGAAATACTGGTCTCATTTGTTTGCTTTCTCATTATTGTCCTTTCTTCCTGGGCTCTTAGTGCCTCAGCTGCCTCAAATCACAGTTTAGTTTTTTTTTTTTTTTTTTTGAGATGGAGTCTTGCTCTGTTGCCCAGGCTGGAGTACAGTGGTGCAATCTCACCGCACTGCAGCCTCCACCTCCTGGGTTCAAGCAATTCTCCTGCCTCAGCCTCCCATATAGCTGGGACTACAGGCGCCTGCCACCATGCCTGGCTAAATTTTGTATTTTTAGTAGAGGTAGGGTTTCACCATGTTGGCCAGGCTGGTGTTGAACTCCTGACCTCAAGTGATCTGCCCGCCTCGGCCTCCCAAAGTGCTGGGATTATAGGCATGAGCCACCGTGCCTGGCCCACAGTTTAGTCTTTAGCCTTGTAAGGTTGTAACGGTGCTGCTGGCTTCTCTCCCTCTTAGCTATGACTTTCCTTGCATATTGTCAGCCTTTCCATATATTCCTCTTACCCCCAAGATTTGCAGATGGCCAGAGCAGGAAAAGCAAGGTTCCCCAAGAACGCTGGCCCCCTTCTCTGCAGTTGCTTTCTTCAGATGAAAATGTTGGCCCCCTTCCCTGCAGTTGCCTTCTCTCCTAGATCTTGGTCCCTCAAGTCCAGGTTGCTTCCACAGTTTTCCCACAGCCATCAATTAGATGTTTTCCTTTTACCTACCTTTTCTAGTTGTTTTCTGTGAGGACCTTGGTTTGCTGGTACTTCATTGTATCTGGAACCAAATTTTTTAAAGAGCCAGGGTCTTGCTATGTCACCCAGGCTGGAGGGCAGTGGCTATTCACAGGCTCACTACAGCCTCAAATTCCTAGGCTCAAGTGATTCTTCTGCCTCAGTCTTCGCAGTAGCTAGGACTCTACAGGTGCGCACCAACGTGCTTGGCTTGGAGCAGAATGTTATTAAATCATTACATCTTATTGTTTGTTAGACCGTGTGCAAAAAAGAAAGAGTTAAGTTTCCTTGTCCTTAATTTCTCAGAAAACAATTCATTTGTGTTATGTTTATGACTTTTTACAGGTTGTTCTGTTGTCGCCAGTTCCAGAGCTGAGGGATTCTTCAAAACTTCATGATTCTCTCTATAATGAGGATTGTACTTTCCAACAACTTGGAACTTACATTCATTCTATCAGAGATCCTGTCCATAACAGAGTCACCCTAGTAAGTATAAACATTTGGTAGCTTTCCAAGAGGTGGGCTGGCATTTCAAATTTGACAGAATAGAAAATTTTATCTGAAAAATGACAGCAAACATTTCTCATGATTTAAAAAAATCTATTGTGTCATTTTTTGGCACTATTTTACTTTTTACTATACAGTAATTCTGCTTGTTTTCTACAGTTTCTGTATTTTTAAAAACAGTGAAAATGAAAGCTTGTTGAGTCAGTTGAGTTGTATATTGATATGATTTTTTGTCTTTTCATTAAAAGTAAATGTCCTTTTGATGATGGTGACTCACTGTATAAAGATTAGACACTTTTTATTAAAACAAGCATTTTGGAAAGCATTTTGCAAATAATTACGTTTAAAGTTTCTGAAATTTGGAAGTGTTCATTTCTGTTTGAAATTGTTTTTCATTTATTTTATTGCTTTGATAGGCGAAGTCTTGTACCAGCTATTTTTAAGACATTCAAAGACAGAATGCACAGATTTTATTTACTTTCTGATTTGTTTCCATCTAGGAACTGAGTAACGGCTCCATGGTTAGGATCACTATTCCTGAAATTGCCACCTCTGAGTTAGGTACGACTGAGAAGTTTCATTTCTAAGACATGAAGTAATTGTGATTTACATTCATAATTGGGGTTTTAAACATTATTTTGCCATTTTTGAAGCCGCTGGATCAAGTTCTTAGCTTTGTAGAGGAGCTTTAAAGAGCTGGGAGTGCTTTGTGATGTCTACTCTGTGTGCTCTAAGGCTGGAGTACAGGTGAAGGATGTGCTAGTTCTGTTCCTCTGAGATTCTTCTGTTGAGGAATATAATGCAGTGTAATAATATATGGACATGCCGACTGGGCATGGTGGCTCACACCTGTAATCCCAACACTTTGTGAGACTGAGGCGAGCGGATTGCTTGAGGTTGGTAGTTCGAGACTAGCCTGGCCAACATGGTGAAACCCTGTCCCTATTAAAAATTCAAAAATTAGCTGGGTGTGGTGGCGCACTTCTGTAATCCCAGCTACTCGAGAGTCTGAGGCAGGAGAATCGCTTGAACCCGGAATGCGGTGGTTGCAGTGAGCTGAGATCATGCCCCTGCCCTCCAGCCTGGGTGATAGAGTGAGACTCTGTCTCAAAAAAAAAAAAAAATATATATATATATATACACACACACAGACACACACGGACATGCCTCTTGCAAGAACATCTGGGAAACAAAGCCTAAGCAACTAGGATATTTCTTGGCATATTTAATTTTTTTTTTTTTTTCTGTAATGTATTAATGATGTTTTTAATCTTAAATATCTCAATTTTCAGATAAGTTGTGAAATTAGCATAATTGCCTTAATTGCATAAAACTTAGTATTATTGTCAAAATACAATCAGAATTATCTTAATAAATATTGGATTCTGCTTGAATTATTCCTGAAATGCAGTTTCAAAATGCTAGAGGAGAGTATTTCTGAACATAGAATAGTAAACAAAATATTAGAATTCAAGGGATTTGCCAACAAACGTATGTTAAGAAAAGAATGCCTGTATGATATAAGGAACTTCATGACATCTCTTGGTTTCAAAATCTAACTGTCAAAGCAGGACATTGGCAGATTGTAGACTAGAATGACTTTTTCATTTTAGGAATTTTCACTGGGTGGTAAATGGTATTCCAAGTTGATATAGAGATTCCTTGCCTTCTAAAAGGTATTGCATAATCACAAGGCCAGGTACCTGGAAGTATTATAAGCCTAAGCAAAATATATAAAAACAGATAATAATGGAGGAAATTAAATAAATAAAAACAAAAAATTTTACCCCTTTATAGCCAAACAGAAGCCCCATAGCTTATGTACATACGTTTATATATTTCACCTACAAAGGGTTCTCACACACTCATGCAGCATTGGATTTACACTTATTCTGGATTCAGCTACGACATACTCGGTTATTTGGTATTTTAGTATTATTTGCTTCCAATCTGTGCTGTGTGAGTGTGCACATTGCAAACTGATGGGACAGAGGATGTGTTGCTGAGGATGGGCCCAGTGGCATGACAGTGGAAAGGGAAAAAGGAATCCTGGAAGCGAGGATATGTGAGTACAAAAACTTTGCCATTTGGGATTATTTACTACTAAAAGTAGATTTGGGTCTCTTCACAGTGGTAGCCCTGGCCACTCTGAGGGGCTCATTGTATGCCAGTGTAGTGCTATAATTGACGTGGAGCCATTGAGAATGGTATAAAGCCAGGTGTGGTGGGCTCGTGCTTGTAATCCCTCCCCTTTGGAAGGCTGAGGTGAGGGGATTGCTTGAGTCCAGAAGTTTGAGACCAGCCTGGACAACATAGACTCTGTTTCTATAAAAAGAAAAATAAAATTAGCCAGGCATGCTGGCATGTATCTGTAGTCCTTGCTACTTGGGAGGCTTGACCTGGTGGACCACTTGAGCCCAGGAGTTGGAGGTTACAGTGAGCTATGATTGCACCACTGCACTCCAGCCTGGGGACAGAGGAAGACCCCGTTTCCCTTTACCAAAAACAGAGTGGTGTAAATTATGTGGTATTAACTCTTAACTCTTTTAAGGCAGAGAGCATGTGAAACATTTTAGAAACTGAACAATGTCAGAAATAAAAGTTATAAAGCTTTGGTTCATAGGCATGTTTACTCATTTAGAACATCATGTAATGCTAGCTAAGCATTGCTATTTGTGGATGCATATATTGAATATTATATATTTACTGAAGTATTTAAGCAGTATTTATATAAATGTATAAACATAGAAGTTGTATGTTTTTCATAGTGACTTTTTTTTTTTTTGAGACAGTTTCACTCTAGTCACCCAGGCTGAAGTGCAATGGCATGATCTCGGCTCACTGCAACCTCCGCCTCTCGGGTTCAAGCGATTCTCCTGCCTCAGCCTCCCAAAAAGCTAGGATTTCAGGTGCCCGCCACAGTGCCCAACTGATTTTTGTTATTTTTAGTAGAAACAGGGTTTCACCATGTTGGTCAGGCTGGTCTCGAACTCCTGACCTCAGGTGATCCACCCGCCTCGACCTCGCAAAGTGCTTGGATTACAGGCATGAGTCACCGCACCTGGCCCATAGTGACCTTTAATTTGTCACCTGAGGTAGAACATCTTTAGAGTGAAAGGGGGAGCAGTTAGTAATTGCTAGGGCAATGGATGTAAATCAGTACTGTCTCTGGCAAACTGGGGTATTTGGTCACTTTATTTCTGATTCAAAATTAATGATCGAAAAGCTGTCCTCGGCTGGGCACAGTGGCTCACACCTGTAATCCCAGCACTTTGGGAGGTCAAGGCAGGCGGATCACGAGGTCAGGAGTTCGAGACCAGCCTGGCCAACATGGTGAAACCCCGTCTCTACTAAAAATACAAAAAATTAGCCTGGCGCAGTGGCAGACACCTGTAATCCCAGCTACTTGGTGGCTGAGGCAGGAGAATTGCTTAAGCCCAGGAGGCAGAGGTTGCAGTGAGCCGAGACTGCACCACAGCACTCCAGCCTGGGCAACAGACAAGACTCCATCTCAAAAAAAAAGAAAAAAGAAAAAAAGCTGCCTTCAGACCTCTTTCAAGCCCTGTTGAATTCAATAGTTGGTTTTAGTTTCAGATGATTGGTTAGGTAATGTTTGCATCTCATTGGCTCTTTAGTGACAGTTTTCTTTTCATAATAATTGGCCTTTACATAGTAGAAATTTAAAAACTTGATTATTGAAAGGGAAAAGAAATGCATGCAGAGTAAGAATACTAAAATTAATCTTTGCTTTTAATAGTACAAACGTGTTTGCAAGCAATTAAGTGTATCCTGCCAAAAGAAATAGCAGTTCAGATGCTTGTCAAGTGGTACAATGTCCACAGTGCTCCAGGAGGACCCAGTTATCACTCAGAGTGGAACTTATTTGTGACTTGTCTCATGAACATGATGGGTTATAACACAGACCGCTTAGCATGGACTAGAAATGTAAGTAAATACAATTGTTTTCTTTATGAGTTATTCTGTTAATGTAATGGTTGCATTACATTGGTAATTGGTAATGTAACATTGGCATACCATATTCAAAATAATAGAATAATATTAAGGTTTATTGTATCTATATATTGTAAATCAAATCTCATTTAATATTTAATATTAACGTTTTACTAGTAATTATAATTACTGAGCTTTAGAATGTTAAAGCATATATGACTATTTCTTATTTCACCTTTGTAAGATGACTGCAAGTTATGCTAGGATTAGTGATAGTCTTGGTTTTATTGATGAAGAAACTGGATCACAAAGAAATCACAGATCTGTGATTTTTTAAAAAACTATGACTAGACTGCATCTTCTGACTCCTTGTTTAACGTTGTTTTCTGAAGACAAGATTGTCTTTTTACACACATGTTGTTTGGGATGTGAGGAGGAAGGTTTGATTTGAGGGGGATTTAAAGTACTTTAGCCTGAGTATCTGCTCTGTTAATGGTATAAAGCCTTATCTCTCACCCTCTTCCCCCAGAAACATCCTTACAGGCCCTTATTAGATTATTTACAAAATCAGCAGAGTGGTGTCTTCAGTATTGGTGATCTCTTTCTAGCTCTGGAGATCCCTCGCAGGACGACCTTGCTTGGGTCACTCTGAAAAAAAAAAATCATTCTAGATTGTGATTACCCTTTTTGCAGGTAACTCAGCTCTTCCATTCTATACGTTTTAGCCTTGTACAGCAAATCCATTTTTAAAACTTGCTTTTGTCTCAATTATGAAAGGCAAATGTGGAAAATGGAGGAATTAAGAAAATAATTATACTACTCAGAGATAACCACTCTAAACATTTTTGAAGTTACCTTCTGTATAAAAGTATCAATGAAAATTTCCCGTATCATTAAAAAATTTTTCTAAAAAACCTCCATCATTTCATCATAGTGTAGTTTTGTCATAATTGACCCATAGCTAATAATTGCACCTTGTGAATCTTTTGTTTTCCTTATTGTGAGTAATTTATAAACATCCTGTTTCCATGAATCTTTTTTTTTTTTTTTTTTTTTTTGAGATGGAGTCCTCGCTCAGTCGCCCAGGCTGAAGTGCAGTGGCGCCATCTCGGCTCACTGCAAGCTCGCCTCCTGGATTCATGCCATTCTCCTGCTCAGCCTCCCGAGTAGCTGGGACTAGCAGGTGCCCGCCACCACGCCCGGCTAATTTTTGTACTTTTAAATAGAGATGGGATTTCACCTTGTTAACCAGGATGGTCTCGATCTCCTGACCTTGGGTGATCTGCCCACCTTGGCCTCCCAAAGCGCTGGCCTTTGTTTTCATGACTCTTTAGCCACATCTCTAGTTACTTCCCAAGAATGAATCTTAAAAGAGAGACTGTTGGGTCAAGTAATGTTTGGAAAGGGTTCCCAGGTGACTTCTTACCAGCATCGATTTTACAAGTGCCACTTTCTCCCATAGTGTTATCTGTTGTGGCGCGGCTGTGGCTGAACCTGCTAGGCATTACTCGAAGAAATTCTTATCTTATTCTTCCTGTATAACGTCGAATGGGATTTTTTTTCCAAATGTTCATCAGTTATTTATAGTATCTTATTTTTGATTTTGTATTTCATGTCCTTTGTCTATGCTCCAGTCTCTTCTCAGTCCAGTGGCCAAAGTAATCCTGTTTGATGAAGTCAGGTTATGTTAGTCGCGCGTCTGCGTAGGATCCCCCAGTGACTTCCCATGCCACTCAGAGTAAAGGCCATAGGCTTACAAGATGCCATGTGACCTAGCCCTTGCTTACCTTCCTGGTCTCATTTTTTAATGCTTTGCACACGTCATCCCAGCCACACTGGCCTCAGCTCTGTTCCCTGAGCACTGCCAGCATGTTTCTGCCTCTGAGTGTTTGCACTTGCTGTTACCTCTGTGGAGAATGCTTCCCTGCCTCTCCGACAAGATGTGCTTAGGTCTTTATTGAGATGTCACCTCAGTGCTGCCTCCTGTCTCTCTATGTAGCATTACACCTGCCTCCATACCTTTAGTGCCATTTACCTGTTTTTTTTTTTTTCTTCTCACTTAAATATAATATAGTATATATTTTACTTGTTTTGTTTTGTGTCCCTCCTCCCCCAGCTGGAATGTAAACTCTAGGAAGGCAAAGATTTTTGCTTAGTTTTGGTTACTACTTTCTTTCTCCAGGACCTGTGGTATTGCCTGGCATAGAAGGATACTGAGTGAACATTTGTTGAGTGAATGCCATTTTCCATCTGAGTGAGATACTGTTTTTAAGAGTTTGTGTCTATTTCAGCACATGAAGGAATTGCCCTCTGCAATTTCCTTGAGAAAAATCTTACGAGAAAATAGGAACAATTTTCTTTTCTTTTTTTTTTCCTTTTTTTAAGATGGGGTTTCGCTCTGTCGCCCAGGCTGGAATGCAGTGGCGCTATCTTGGTTCATTACAACCTCTGCCTCCTAAGTTGAAGCGATTCTTGTGCCTCAGCCTCCCTAGTAGCTGGGATTACAGGCATGCACCTCCATGCCTGGCTAATTTCTGTATTTTTAGTAGAGACGGGGTTTCGCCATGTTGGCTATGCTGGTTTCAAGCTCCTGAGCTCAAGTGATCCTCCCACCTTGGCCTCCCAAAGTGCTAGGATTACAGGTGTGAACCACGGCGCCTGGCCTTCTTTTCTTATTTTAAACAATTGTATCAACGTGACATTATCTTCAATTTTTCTGTTCTTTATTGCATGTGAAAAGATTAAGCCTCATAGAAACTGTAGATTTCTACATTATGTAAAAGCACGTCAGCTTTCTGTAGTTCTGTGTATCATTGTCCTTGGAACTTGTTGATGAATACAGATTGTTGTGTCCTAGTCTCTGGCAGAGAACCTATGCCCCCTCGCGTTTCCATGTTTTGGGGAGGACTGAGCACCTACTTATTTTTTCCTTTGCAAAGAGGGACATGGCTCTTTGACTTACTTATTGCATGATAATTATAAAGGAAGGAATAAGGAAATCAATTCTTGAGGCCAAGTTGCTTTGCCATTTATTTGTAGGACTGCATGGTTAAACCCTTGCTATCTTTTGTCCTCATAGTCAAAGCTTAGGATGAAATGGTCCTCACTGGCAAATGGTTTTCATTTTGCTCTGTTCAGATTTATTCTTTTTGTTTTTGTGGAGTACAGAATTTCTGCCAAAGACTAGTTACACAATTTTTGGCATTTCTTTGTGCTTTAATTTGCTGATGTGTTAAATGAGCGCACTGGACTGTACATAGTAGGAACAGTTGCATTTGGGTTAACTTTTTGTAGCTTTTGGGCTGCTCTTTTTTTCATTAGCTAAATATTGAATCCCTGCTGTGGGCCAGGCGTGATGCCAGGTTTCTCACATATACCCTAAACAAAACAGACTATTCCTCTGGAATTGACTGTCCTGGGGGAAACAAATAATATTTGATACATGTGTTACGATAGATGAAGGGTAGGGGTCCATAGGAGCCTATAACAGGGTTGGCTAACCTGAGACACATGGAAAGAATGAAGATTAAGCAGATCCATGTATGGTACAAAGAGCCATCCTTATCAGGCAGTTTCTACTTTCTCATAACTCCAGGCCTTATGAATCTGATAATTATAGCAAGGACATTCGTTTTGACTGTGGGACTTTGTGTGTGTTATATTTTGGTTGAAGTTTTAGGTAAGATAGCTACTGTTTTATTTGTTGCTTTGATTTCACTGTTATTACCAGGTTTTTTATAATATGTATGAGTTGGGCTGTTTTTTATTTGAATGCTTCACAAGCAAACGTCTCTCAATTAACATTCAGTTTTAAAAATCACTTTATTGCTACCTATGTTTAGTTTTTATATAGAAATCCGCTCCGTTTAGGTGAGTGAGTTGATAAATATGTAAGTTTTTTAGCACAGGAAAATAGCCATTGCCATTTATAGAGTTAACAGTTTATTAGTTGATAGTCAGTGCCCATGTGAAGTAGCTGGGGCAGCAAAGATTATGCCAGGGGAAATTGAAGAAGAGCAACTTGTAGAAAACTGCTTTTATGTAGTTGTATTAGTTAGAAGATAGGCTCACTATTGTAATAGAAAGGCCTCAAAAGATACAATGGCTCAAACAAAATGTCTGCCTTGCTTACATAACAGGGCTTAGCAGATAAACAGGCCACACAGTTACTCAGAAACCCAGGTTGATGGAGGATCTTTTGTCTTCGGTTCAAAGACTGCCATTGGTTGACTTCCAGTCAGGTGGAAGGGGCAAAGAGCCTGGGGGAGCAGGTATAGGACTGGACTGGTCCTGGAAGTGGTGACAGTGACTTCCATCTATAATTAACTCTGTCAAAGGGTCACACCTAACTTCAGAGGAGGCAGGGGTATGTGTGTAGTCTGGCTGTGGGTTCAGGAGAAAGAGGAGAACAAAGATTTTCCAGAGTGGCTGCTTGTCTCTACCATAGAATTGTTAGGTAGTTTACTGTATATGGACTGTAAATAAATGTTTGCTTAGTTCTAACATTTGACTGATATTGGGTTGATCCTTTGAGACTTCTATATATATATATATATTATGGATATGCCTAAAGTTTCTTTTTCTACCAAAGATGTGATGTGATCTGTGTCGTTACAGAAGTAGGAGAGGGAAGGAAACTACCATTAAAATCAGTACTTAGGAGCCCAGGCACCGTTCTAGATGTTTGCACATATTAATATGATTTCATTTCATCTTCACAGTAATCTAGAAGAAAGGTATTTAAATAATGACTTTCCAGTTAAAAAATGAGTTTTGATGGCTTTCCTCAGTTTCCATAATTGGCAGAACTGATTTCTGAATCCTTTAAGTTGATCAGTTGACAGGAATGAGTTTATGATTTTTATCTTTTCTTTTGGGGTTGCTTTTCAGTTTGACTTTGAAGGATCACTTTCCCCTGTCATTGCGCCCAAAAAAGCAAGGCCTTCCGAGACTGGATCTGATGATGTAAGCATTATTATTTCTTGCTAATACAAATTAATTTGTGGATATTCATACTAGTCTCCCACTTCTTGGTATTCCTGACAATTCCTCTATCTTTCCAACACCTTTCACTTTATTTATTTTAATACTGAGTTACAATTATTTTGAAGAGTAGGCTCTGTTACATTTTCTGTGGCCTTTAATGATTATCTAAAAATTAATGTATGTATTACTGCATGATTTCAGTTTGGGTTTGTAGACATTTTATTATCAACTGATCACCTGAAATGAGCAGCATGTATGTGTTTTTAATGCAGTGTAAATTTAAATTAGAGTTCTCAGCATCATATCAAGGTTCTGTAGGTATATTTCTTTTTTTTTTTTCTCTTTTTTTTTTGAGACGGAGTCTTGCTCTGTCGCCCAGGGTGGTGTTGCAGTGGGCCGCGATCTCAGGCTCATTGCAAGCTCCGCCTCCCGGCGTTTACGCCCTTTCTCCTACCTCAGCCTCCCGAGCAGCTGGGACTACAGGCGCCCGCCCCCTTGCCCGGCACTAGTGGTTTTTTGGGCGTTTTTAGTAGAGATGGGTTTCACCTGTGTTAGCCAGGATGGTCTCGGATCTCCTGACCTTGTGATCCGCCCGCTCTGTTGGCCTCCCAAACAGTGCTGGATTACAGCTTGAGCCACGCGCGCCCGACTCCTCTTTTTTTTTTTTTTTTGAGACACGATGTATAGCTCAGTGCGCCCAGGCTTGGAGTGCAGTGGCACGATCTGAGCTCACTGCAACCTCCACCTTCCCAGGTTTCAAGCAGTTTCTCCTACCTCAGCCTCCTGAACAGCTGGGATTACAGGTGTGTCCGCCTCCATGCCCAGCTAATTTTGTAGTTTTGGTAGAGACGTTTCACCATCTTGGCCAGGCTGGTCTCGGAACTCCTGACCTCAAGTGATCCGCCGCCTTGGTTCCCAAAGTGCTGGGATTACAGCATGATGCCACCGCACCTGGCCTCCATGGTATATTCTTAAGTGCCCAAATGTATTTTTTTAAAATTATTAGTATAATTTACAAAATGAAATACATCTTGAATTTACAGTTTGATCAGTTTTAATATATTACACCACCTCAGGTAACCCATACTCCTATAAAGACACCAGAATATGTTATAACGCCATAAATTTCCTTGTTTGGTTTTTTTTTTTGAGACGAGTCTTGCTTTGTTCGCCCAGGCTGGAGTGCAGTGGTTACAATGTCGGCTCACTCTAACCTCTTGACTCCTGAGTTCAGGCAATTCTCATGCTCAGCCTTCCCCAGTAGCTAGAATTACAGGGCGGTGTGCCATTGATGCCTGGCTAAATTTTGTATTTTAGTAGAGATGGGTTTTTGCATGCTTGGCCAGGTCTGGTCTCAAACTCCGTGGCCTGCAAGTAATCCGCCCACTTTTGCGTCTCCCACAAAGTGCTTGGGATTACAGGTGTGAGCCACCATGGCCCGGCCGCATTGGACGAGTATATTGTATGTGTGGTGTGTGTGTGTGTGTGTGTGTGTGTGTGATTTTTTCCCCTCCCTTCCTCTGCCTCCTCCTTCCTTCCTTCCTTCCTTCCTTCCTTCCTTCCTTCCCTCCCCTCCCTCCTCTTCGCCTCCCTTTCCCCTCCCTCCTCTCTCTCTCCCTCCCTCCCTCTCTCCTTCCTCCTCTCTCTCTCCCTCTTCTCCTCTTTTTTCTTTTCTTTCCTTTTTTCTTTCTTTCTTTCTTTATCTTTCTTTCTTTCTTTCATTTTGCTTCTTTTCTTTCTTTCTTTCTTTCTTTCTTTCTTTCTTTCTTTCTTTCTTTCTTTCTTTCTTTCTTTTCTTTTCTTTTCTTTTCTTTTCTTTTCCTTTCTTTTTTGAGATAGGGTCTCACTTTGTTGTCTGGACTGCAGCTATGCTATTGTAGCTGACTGAATCTCGAACTCCTAGGCTCAAGCCATCCTTCTACCTCAGCCTCTGAGTAGCTAGGACTACTGGTATGCACCATCATGCCTGGCTAATTTTTAAATTTTTTTGGTAGAGACAAGGTCTTACCATAATATGTTCCCCAGGCTGGTCTCAAACTCCTGGGCTTCAGCAGTCCTCCTGCCTCTATCTCCCAAAGTGCTGCGATTATGGGTGTGAATTTTAATTTAATTTCTTTTAAATTAAAATTCACATCTGTAATTTTAATTTCTTTTAATTTAATTTCTTTTAAATTAAAATTCATGCCTGTAATCGCAGCACTTTGAGGGATGGGGCAGGAGGACTGCTTCAGCTCAGGAGTTTGAGACCAGCCTGGACAACAGATTATAGTAAGACCAGTTCTCTACCAAAAAAATTTAAAAATTAGGCAGGCATGATGGCGTGCACCTGTAGTCCTAGCTACTCGGAGGCTGAGGTAGGAGGATGTTAAACATTCTTTCATGTGCTCATTAGCTACTTATGTATCTTTTTGTGAAGTTTCTGTTCAAATCTTTACCTACTTTTATATTAGATTTTAAAAAATATGTAAGCTGTTGAAGTTCTTTCCTGTTCTAGACATGAGTTCTTGACCATATTTTCCCTTAGAATGTGGCTTTAACATTGTCTTTGATGAGTGGAATTTTTTATTTTAGTTATCCAATTTATTAGTTTTTTCTTTTATGGTTAGTTCTTTCTGTATCCAGTCCAAGAATTTTTAAGTTAGAATAACACACTATATTAAGCCTTATAAAAACACCAGTAAGTTCCAAGATCTGGAAATAGCATAAACCACATTCTCTGAACCAAATGCAGTAAATCACAAGTAGAACCAAAATAGACTGAATATTTGGAAAATGTAGTCTAATCAGTCTGAATATAAAAACCAATTGATTATTAGATTATATTACTAGCCCTGGCATCTTATACATGTGGAAAGATGAATACATCAGCTGAATGCAGGTGGACCTTCCCTCTTACCAAAACACAGTTCAGTGTAGTGGCCCACTAACCTGCCATCTACTTTTCCTATAAAACCTAGCTTGAGATAATCTTAAATTTTCTCTCTCAATCTCTACCTAAATAGTATAATTCTTCTTCCAATGTCTTTCCTAAAAGGGCATGGTAAGATTTTTTTTTAATGTGTTTTAAAGGTGGCTTGCCTTAACATTTATAATTGGCATCTGGAAGTTGCTTGCTGTTTCATAGTTACTTCATTCTTAGCATTGTCTTTTTTTTTTTTTTTTAAATATACTCTTAGATCAGCTTAATGTGAAAATGAAACGAATTGTTTTAAGTGAATTAATTATTAATTTTCTTTTCTAATGATACTATAAGGAGGTATTATTTTAAAAAATTATTATTCTTTTTATTTTTCTCAGGACTGGGAATATTTACTAAATTCAGACTACCACCAGAATGTTGAGTCTCATCTTTTGAACAGATCTTTATGTTTGAGTCCTTCAGAAGCTTCACAGATGAAGGATGAGGATTTTTCACAGAATCTCAGTCTGGATTCTTCTACACTTCTCTTTACTCACATACCTGCAATTTTTTTCGTTCTTCACCTTGTGTATGAGGAGCTTAAGTTGAATACTCTAATGGGAGAAGGAATTTGTTCACTTGTTGACCTTCTTGTTCAGTTGGCAAGGTAAATTTGTTTGTAGGTTAGAAACTGCCAGGAAGTCCTTAGATGACTGTCTTTTCCATGATATCACATGGGGACCTTGTAAATAAGTTTCTGAAATCTACCTTCTCAGAAAACTAGGGCATCTTCTGTAAACCACAGAGTTGTTTGAAAATACTGGTTTTATAAGGGCCTGTGAGCCATGCAGGGACTTTTAGTCTCTGTCCTGAGATTAGTGGAAGGTCACGAGAAAATGGAGATGACCTGCTCAGATTTTCGTTTTGACAGGATGGCTGGCTATACTGTGGTGGGAGTTCTAGAATAACATCTGCTGTTTTGTATTAATATCCACATTCAAATTGTGCTTTATAGTTGACAAAATCATAATTTACATATAAAGTCTCAAACAAGGTAAGTTTCCTATTTTAGTGATGAGGAAATTTGCCTAAATTTGTTTCCAGGGATATGAGTGTTTGATAGTTGCAGACTCATTTTGTTACGCTATCTTTGCTGCAATCTGAGGTTGTCCCTGTCTTTGAGGCATTCATAGTAGATCCACAGAATAATATGTTTCAACACTTTTCAACAGCTTTGAAGCACCTTGTGTATGGCTCAGAATTCTAGGGTCATATTTATGTGTTGTTTGACCTTTGTGACCTTTGGTGATAAAGAAGTTGAATTTGAATTGAAATGTCAACCTCTGAGTTAAGGCATAGTACGTTTTCTAATTTCTGTTGTCTTTTTTGAGATCTTGAAATTCATTCCTGAGACATGGCAATTTTAATCAATGGTAAATATCTCTTAGGATGTCATTACTATCATGAAAATTCTTTTGTAATTAATTTCCAAACCATAATCATGGCTCTCTGAAATAAGTAATGTGTATGTTGTTTTATATTTTATCAGTTTTCTTTTAAACATATTTTATCTTATTTAATCTTTAAAATTTCAGAGTAAGTTAGCTGGTATTGCCCCATTTTCTAGAAGAAAATACTGAGTTTTATAAACATGACTTATAGAAGGTCACACAGCTAGTAAATAGCAGAGAAAGAGCTAGAACACGGTGCTTTTACTGTAGTTTTACTTCCACAAAATTTAACTAGCAAGAAGAGATTGGGTTGCATTTGTCACACTGGGCACTTTAAAGTCCAAAAATACAATAAAGAGACTCTAGATTTGGTTATCTTCTTTCTCATAAGTAAGTTTTTAAATTGAAAGATTCAAGTAATGAATCCTTCCAACTCTGTTGGGAGAAAGTGCTGTAATACCTTCTTTTTTACATGCTCTTACTGTTTTAGGGACTTAAAATTGGGACCTTACGTAGATCATTACTATAGAGACTACCCAACACTTGTCAGAACTACTGGACAAGTGTGCACAATTGATCCAGGTAAGTGGTTGTGCTTTTAAAGATTTTCTATACAGTGCAGTGACATTTCCTTGTATCTTTCTCAATGAATAGCAGAGGATGTATTTCTTACCATTAGCTTCTAAGTCAGGGACAATGTCTTTCCACCAGGCAGATTTTAGTTTGTAGTGCTTGTTTTCTGACACATAGTAAGCCATAATATCTTCAGTGTATGGGGAAAATTTTACCCATCCCTAAGGTTCTGACTTGCAAAAGCTTAGAAGGAGCTTCCAGTGCCAAGGATGCTTTCTTTTTCTTTTTTTTTTTTGAGACGGGTCTCACTCTGGCGCCCAGGCTGGAGTGCAGTGGTGCGATCTCGGCTCACTGCAGGCTCTGCCCCCCGGGTTCATGCCATTCTCCTGCCTCAGCCTCCTGAGTAGCTGGGACTACAGGCGCCTGCCACCACCCCTGGCTCATTTTTTTGTATTTTTAGTAGAGACGGGGTTTCACCGTGTTAGCCAGGATGGTCTCGATCTCCTGACCTCGTGATTCACCCACCTCGGCCTCCCAAAGTGCTGGGATTATAGGTGTGAGCCACCATGTCTGGCCGCCAAGGATGCTTTTAACTTAGACTTGTACTGTCCAATTAGTACCACTAACCATATGTTACTTAAATAAAGCATGTATTTCCTCAGTGCACTAGCTGCATTTTGAGAACTCAGTAGCCACATGGGGCTAGTGCTACCATATCGGACAGTGCAGATACAGACACAGAACATTTCCATCACCACTGTATCATCCTAGACCCTGAGCTAAAGGTACTGAACGTTGGGGCCCAGTTGTTGGAACAGAGTTGAATCCTGGATGATTCTTTTGTTTTTTTTCACCTTTATGGTTAGGACAAAAATTTTGGTTAGATTCTTTTTTTTTTTTTTTTTGGAGACAGAGTTGTACTCTGTCGCCCAGATGGGAGTACAGTGGTATGATCTCGGCTCACCACATCCTCTGCCTTCCAGGCTCAAGCAAGTCTCCTGCCTCAGCCTCCCAAGTACCTGGGATTACAGGTGTATGCCACCACGCCTGGCTAATTTTTGATTTTTAGTAGTGATGGGGTTTCACCATGTTGGCCAGGCTGGCCTTGAACTCCTGACCTCAAGTGATCCACCTGTCTCAGCCTCTGAAAGGGCTGGGATTACAGGTGTTAGCCACCGCGCCCAGCCTTTAGTTAGATTCTTTATATGCCTTGGGAACAAGAGTTTGCTAAATTTCCACCCAGGATGAGATAAAATATAAGTCATTTAAGTTCTATGTTTAATAATATAGTTACTTATTTACTGTGGCAGAAAACATGAAGCATTTTGGAGAATATGGAAAAATATTATTCCTTTTTTTTTTTGAGACAGAGTTTCTCTCTCTGTCTCCCAGGCGTGATCTCGGCTCACTGCAACCTCCACCTCCCAGGTTCAAGCGATTCTTCTGCCTCAGCCTCCCAAGTAGCTGGGACTGCAGGTGTGCACCACCGGGCCCAGCTAATTTTTTTTTGTATTTTTAGTAGAGACAGGGTTTCACCATTTTGGCCAGGCTGTTCTCTAACTCCTGACCTCGTGATCCACCTGCCTTGGCCTCCCAAAGTACTGGGATTACAGGCGTGAGCCACTGCACCCGGCTGGAAAAATATTATTCTAGTTGTTTCAGAATGACAGGTAACTGTTGATCTTCTGTTTAAAATAAAATAATGTTGTCTTAATGTATTTTTGTGTCTTTTTGAATATTTATCTAATTTTAAAGGTCAAACAGGATTTATGCATCATCCATCATTTTTTACTTCTGAGCCACCAAGCATTTATCAGTGGGTGAGTTCTTGTCTGAAGGGTGAAGGAATGCCACCTTATCCTTACCTCCCTGGAATCTGTGAAAGAAGCAAACTCGTAGTCTTGGTATGTATTAGGAGTGTTACTACCTATCTCCTTTTTCTTTTAAAATTTAGTTTTAAAAAGTACACCTAATATTAAGTTTTTCTTCCTGTGTATAGTTCTGTGAATTTCAGTATGTGTATAGATTCGTGTGATTACTGCAATTAGGATAGGGAACATTTACATCACCCTCAGAAATTTCTCTCATGATTTTGAGATTCATCCAAGTTGTTTCCTGTATCAACAGTTCGTTGCATTCTATGACCAATTAGTAGTTTATTGCATGAATGTGCCATGTTGGTTTTCCATTCAAGATAATTGGGTTGATTTCAGTTTTTAGTAATTGTAAATGTAGATGCTGTCAGTATTCATATTCAGGGTTTTATGTGAATGTAAGTTTTGCTTTCTTTAGGACAGGTACCTAGGAGTAGGATCGATGGGTCATATAGTTAAGTTTATGTTTTGTTTTTAAAGAAACTGTCAGCTGTTTTTGAGTGGCTCTTCCATTTTACGTTTTTACCAGCAATATTTAAGAGGTCATTTACCTGCATTCTTGTTGGTGTTTGGTATTGTCACTCTTTTTTGTTTTTTTCTTTCTAAGAGATGTGTAGTTATACCTCATTGTGGCTTTAATTTGCATTTTCCTAATGGCTAATGATGTTTTGAGGGTTCTAGTTATGACGCCTTGTCAGATATGTGGTTTGCAGATATTTTCTTTTAGTTTCTACCTTGTCTTGTTTCCTCATTCTCTTAATACGTCGAAGAGCAAAAGAGTTTAATTTTGATGAAGCTAGTTTATCTGTATTTTTCTTTAATGGATGTTGCTTTTAGTGTCATGTCTAATAATTCTTTGTTTAACATCAGGTTTTGAAGATTTTCTCCTGGGTTTCTTTATATGTTTTACATTTAGATCTCTAATCCATTTTGTTAATTTTTTATAACGTGTCAGGTTTTAAGTCAAGGTTTTTATTATTTCATTTGGATATCCAGTTCTTTCAGCACTATTTTTTGAAAAGACTATCCTTTCTCTATAGCATTTGCACTTTTGTCAAAAGTCAATTTGTGTGTCTATTTCTGGACTTTCTATTCTGGTTCATTGATCTTTGTGACTGTCTATGCTGTAATTACTGTAGCTTTATAGTAAGTCTTAAAATTGATTAGCGTTACTCCTCCCTTCATTACTCTTCTTGCCTTTTCATACTGATTTTATTTTTATTTTTATTTTTGAGACACAGTCGCTCTGTCACCCAGGCTAGAGTGCAGTGGCGTGATCTCAGCTCACTGCAACCTCCACCTTCCAGGTTCCAGCAATTCTCCTGCCTCAGCTTCCCAAATAGCTGGGATTACAGGATCCTGCCACCACGCCCGGCTAATTTTTTGTGTTTTTAGTAGAGACAGGGTTTCACCATATTGGCCAGGCTAGTCTTGAACTTTCAACCTCAAGTGATCTGCCTGGCTCAGCCTCCCAAAGTGCTGGGATTACAGGTGTGAGCCACCACATCTGACCCATACTGCTTTTATAATCAGCTTGTCTATAGCTACCAAAAAAATCCTGCTGAAATTTTTTTCAAAGAAGCACATCTTTATTTATTTTAATTATTTTTTGTTTACTTTGAGCTGTAAATCTCATTATTTATTTATTCTTAGAAATTAGTTTGTTGTTACTGGTTAATACATGTCCAAGATCAAACCTTCATATAGAACCAAAGGGCTGTAATAGCAGGTAAGGAAAGTTTCTTGGCATACCTGTTCCTCAGTCCCCCAATCCTGGAGCAACCTGCTCATAGGCCCCTTGTGGGCCTTTCTAGGTGGAATTTTTCCAGGCTTGCAGGAGAACCACATGCTTTTGTCCCTTCTCTCAAATGTTGGCAGACTGTAAATGTCTTTGCCCTCTGCCCTTCTTTTTCTTTACGTTTTGCTCTGCTTCATGGTGAGAAGCGCTTCAGAGTCTCCCGATGGCTCCAAAACAGACATACAGAATGGTGGTTCTGTTTAAAAAACACAGATTTTTTTTTTTAATGATAGCAAAATATATATAACGTAATATTTGTTGTTGAAATTGTTATTATTTTTTGAGGCGGAGTCACTCCGTTGCCCACACCGGAGTGCAGTGGCACAATCTCAGCTCACTGCAACCTCCGCTGCTCAGGTTCAAGCGATTCTCCTGCCTCAGCCTCCCGAGTAGCTGGGATTACAGGCGTGAGTCACCAAGTCTGGCTAGTTTTTGTATTTTTAGTAGAGATGGGGGTTCACCCTGTTGGCCAGGCTGGTCTTGAACTCCTGACCTCAGGTGATCTGCCCACCTTGGCCTCCCAAAGTGCAGGAGTTACAGGCATGAGCCACTGTGCCTGGCCTGAAATTATTTTTGAGTGTACAATCCAGTGGCATTGAATACATTCACATTGTTACGTAGCCATCACCACTGTCCATACCCAAGACTTTTTCATCATCCGCAACATAAATTCTGTACCTATTAGACAGTGACTCCCCATTCCCCTTCCTCCCAGGCCCTAGTAATTCTGTTCTGTTTCTTATGAATTTGTCTCTTGTAAGTACCTCGTATTATGGGAATCATACAGTGTTTGTCTCTCTGTGTCTGGCTTATTTCGGTTAGCATAATGTTTTCAATGTTCATCCATATTGTAGCATCTATCAAAATTACATTGTTTTAAAGGCAGTATTCTATATACTACTCCGTTGTATGGATATACCACAATGTATCATTTTATCTGATGATGGACACTTGGGTTGTTTCCACTTTTTGGCTATTATGAATAGTGCTGCTGTGAACCATGGGTACGCAAATATCTGTTCAAGTCTCTGCTTTCAATTCTTTTTAATATATACCAGGTGGTGGAATTGCTGGGTCATATGGTAGGTAGTTTGATGTTTAACTTTTTGAGGAACTGCTAGACTCATTTTCGTAGTGGCTATACCATTTTACATCCTTACCAGTAATGCAAGAGGAAGGGTTCCAGTTTCTCCACAGTCTTGCCAACACATATTATTTCCTATTTGTTTTTTAAAAATTATAGCCATCCTAGTATTTATGAAGTGATATCTCGTTGTTTTGATTTGCATCCTTAATGATTAGTGATGTTGAATATATTTTCATGTGTTTATTGGCCATTTATGTATCTTCTTTGAAGAAATATCTATGCAAATCTTTTGTATATTTGAAAATTGGATTTTTATTTTTGAGTTTAGGCATTTTTATGCTCTAGATATTAATGTATCAGATACATAATTTGCAAATACTTTCTCCCATTCTGTAGGTTTTTCTCTGAATGTCTTTTCTGTAAAACTGGCATGAGTACTCAGTTTATCTCTCTGGCCTTTCATCTTAGTTTTATCCTCTTGGTATTCCTTTATAACTTGTCAGCTCAGAGATCTATTTATAAAAATATGAATTTATTTTTATTTATGAAAATAACTATTTATAAAAATATGAACTTTTTTATTTACTTTTTTTAAACTTCTGTTCTTTTTTTTTTTTTTTTTTTTCGGAAATGGAGTATTGCACTGTTGCCCAGCCTGGAATGCAGTGGCACAATCTCCGCTCACTGCAAGCCCCGCCCCCCAGGTTCATGCCATTCTCCTGCCTCAGCCTCCCGAGTAGCTGGGATTACAGGCACCTGGCTAATTTTTTGTATTTTTAGTAGAGACGGGGTTTCACTGTATTAGCCAGGATGGGCTCGATCTCCTGACCTCGTGATGCGCCCGCCTTAGCCTCCCAAAGTGCTGGGATTACAGGCGTGAGCCACCATGCCCGGCCGAATTTATTTTTATTTATAAAAATATTCTGAAAATATCAACAGAAGCCCTTGTTGATAGGTTTTTGTTTTCATCATTGTATGTTTTATTGGACTTTTTTTTTTCCCTAGGCAAGATCTTATTCTGTCACCCAGGCTGGAGTGCAGTGATGCAATCATGGCTCACTGCAGCCTCAGCCTCCCTGGGCTTAAGCAATCCTTCCACCTCAGCCTTCTGAGTAACTGGTACCACAGGTGCATACCATCACACCTGGCTAATTTTTGTATTTTTAGTAGAGATGGGGTTTTGCCATGTTGCCCAGGCTGGTCTTGAACTCCTGACCTCAAGTGATAAATTTTTTTTTTATGTGATGTTTAGCTAATGAGACATTTGTAGTAACCTTCTAGCTTATGGTGGCTCTTTTCTATTGAGTCACTTGTATATGTATATATGGGAGGCTGAGGCAGAAGGATTGCTCCAGGTCATGAGTTTGAGCCCAGCCTGGGCAACACAATGAGACTCCGTCTTTACAAAAAATAAAAATAATAAATAAAAAAATTAGCTGGGCATAGTGGTGCATGCCTGTAGTCCTGGCTACTCTGGAGGCTAAGGCAGGAGGATTGCTTGAGTCAAGGAATTTGAGGCTGCAGTGAGCTCTGATTGTGTCACTGCACTCCAGCCTGGGTGACAAAGTGAGATGCTGTCACTGAAAAGAGAAAAATAATGTTAATTTTCTTCTTTTGCAGAGTATTGCACTGTACATACTTGGTGATGAGAGCTCGGTTTCTGATGAATCCTCACAGTATTTAACCAGAATAACTATAGGTAAGTTGGTGTAATGTTAGGCCTTTGGAAACAAATTTTTGTAAATGTCAATATCAGAATTGAAAAAAGAATTGAATTTTTCCTGTTTGCTTTAGCAGCCATGTCTTACCTTTTTAGTACTATTCTGGTCTGTTGTGGTCTGTTGTCCACAACTGATTTTCAGGTATCAGGATTACTTAAAAATCTAACACATCTTATATTTTCAGTGTGGGTAAAAAGGCCTATTTTAGCCTCAAGGAAATTATTATACCATTGACTCTTGAACAACATGAGTTTGAACTGTGTGAGTCCACTTACAACGAAATTTTTTTCAGCCAAATGCAGATAGAAAATGCAGTATTCTCTGATGTGAAACCCATATACAGGTTCCGCAGGGCCTATTGCAGGACTTGAGCCTGCACGGATTTGGGTACACGTAGCGTGTCCTAATCAGTCCCCTGAGTATTCTGAAGGCCTTGACTGTAGTTTTCAGCCTGCCATTGTATTGCTTATTTTATTATTTTTTTAGATGTTGTTTGCTAATGGATTCTTATTTTCAAATGTCTTCTGCATGTTACATGTTTTCTTTACCAGGATGACTATCAAAATTAAGTTTCATTTTGTTGCCTTTTAGCCCCCCAGAAGTTGCAAGTAGAACAAGAGGAAAACAGGTGACTTTTATTTAGACTGTGCTTTTATGTCAAACACTTAAAACAGTATTATTTACTGTTCTGCTTAATAACTTTATGTTTTATTCTCTTACAGGTTTAGTTTCAGGCATTCTACGTCCGTTTCCAGTCTAGCTGAAAGATTGGTTGTCTGGATGACTAATGTAGGTAAGAGCTGCTTTGTTACCTCCTAGCTAGGCTCTGCTTCCTCCAGACTAGCTAGAACTGGAAGGCACGAGGAGAGAGGAGCTCTGGCTTTGTGAAAAGGCCTCACAAGATTGAGAGGTTCTTCAAGCCATATTCTTTTTTTCTCGACAATCTCAGAAGTTCCATATAATAATATTTGGTATACCAGCTTTTTATCTTGGTGCATAAGGTGTCTTTATTTGCCATTACATTGGACCATTTGAGGCGGTGGCTATGTAAGCCGGTCTCTGAGAATGGAGAACTCTAATCACCCTACATACACACCTGAAATCGTTGTGATACTCAGATATCAGAAATGGGTGGTTTTGGCAAAGTCTAAAAGCAATAATATGTACATTTCAGGGTATACTTTTGAAGGATAAATGCACTTTTGAAGGGATTTCAGGCACCAAGATGAACATTAAACTGGGAAGAGGAAGAGGGAGGAAAAGAGTTCTATATTCCCTATTCCCCAAACCTATGCTCCTCGGTTTTAAATTAAGTAAAATTGGCCGGGCGCGGTGGCTCAAGCCTGTAATCCCAGCACTTTGGGAGGCCGAGACGGGCGGATCACGAGGTCAGGAGATCGAGACCATCCTGGCTAACACGGTGAAACCCCGTCTCTATTAAGAAATACAAAAAACTAGCCGGGCGAGGTGGCGGGCGCCTGTAGTCCCAGCTACTCGGGAGGCTGAGGCCGGAGAATGGCGTGAACCCGGGAGGCGGAGCTTGCAGTGAGCTGAGATCCGGCCACTGCACTCCAGCCTGGGTGACAGAGCGAGACTCCGTCTCAAAAAAAAAAAAATAAATTAAGTAAAATCCCAAAGAAATTTTTTTTTTTTTTTTTTTGAGACGGAGTCTGGCTCTGTTGCCCAGGCTGGAGTGCAGTGGCCGGATCTCAGCTCACTGCAAGCTCCGCCTCCCAAGTTCACGCCATTCTCCTGCCTCAGCCTCCCGAGTAGCTGGGAGTACAGGTGCCCGCCACCTCGCCCGGCTAATTTTTTTTGTATTTTTTTAGTAGAGACGGGGTTTCACCGTGTTAGCCAGGATGATCTCGATCTCCTGACCTCGTGATCCGCCTGTCTCGGCCTCCCAAAGTGCTAGGATTACAGGCTTGAGCCACTGCGCCCGGCCAAGAAATTTTTTTTACAAAGAACTGAAAAACACAATTAAAAATTACTGCCACAAAGACATGATTTTAAAAATGAGGATGCTATATGGGATGTATGTTAAAAAGTAAAGTTTTAGTGAATATTAAAAGATGTTTTTGAAGTCTTATCTAAAGTATGTTCTAAATGACATTTCTGACAGGTTTTTTTTTTTTTTTTTCATTTCACCTTAAAAATGACAGTAACTGTTGCATACTGTACATACAGGATACCTATGCTGAAAAATACTGGATGAATATCCATTTGTATATTGCATAGTATTTAATAAGTGTTATTCTCATATAAGGAACATTTTTTGCCTCAATAATCAACGTTTTTAAATTATGAATAATGCATAATATTATAAAATTTAGAAAGTCATTATAAGAAAAACATGATTTAACCTGAGGATAAAAAAATTTTAAATATGAAATATGGTGTACTTACAAAATAATATGTCAAACATATATGTTTGTTTTAGAGAATGGTACAAAAGTATTGATGTACTGGTCACCCACCTCTAGAAAGAGGACATTACCCACATAGTAGAAGGTCCTTACATATCTGTTCTTGGATGGTCCCCTCCTGTCACATACCCCAATATTATAGGGAACCACTGCCCTACCTACATTTTGTGTTACTTTACTTTTGTTTTTCTTTATAGTTTTACATCTTTATAAGTTGCTAGGTTTTATGTAGTTTTGAACATACATAGATGGAAATATATGTTCCTTTTTCTTCACTCAACTTTATTTTTTGAAGAGTCATCTATGTCGACTCATGTAGCAGTAGCAGTGGGTCATTCATTTTCTCTGATATATAGATTACTTTGTTTGAACATATCACAATTTAATTACCCATTCTATTGATGATAGACAATGGGACTCGCCCCTTTCGCCACCTCTTTTTTTTTTCCGTAACAAAACAGTATTGCTAATGAATATTTTCATACCTGTGTCTTAGTGTACATGGGTATAAATTTCTGTATGGCTGTTGACAGATCAAATGGGTGGACCTACCTATACATATCAACTGTTTTCCAAAGTGGTTGTACCAGTTTACACTGCCGTTGACTATTTATAAGAATTATTGTTGTTTGGGCCAGGTGCGGTGGCTCACACCTGTAATCCCAGTACTTTGGGAGGCCAAGGCAGGTGGATCACGAGGTCAGGAGCTCGAGACCATCCTGGCTAACACGGTGAAACCCTGTCTCTACTAAAAAAATACAAAAAAATTAGCCAGGCGTGGTGGCGGGCACCTGTAGTCTCAGCTACTCAGGAGGCTGAGGCAGGAGAATGGCGTGAACCCAGGAGGTGGAGCTTGCAGTGAGCCCGAGATTGTGCCACTGCACTTCCAGCCCGGGTGACAGAGTGAGACTCCGCCTCAAAAAAAAAAAAAAAAAGAGAAAAAAGAATTACTGTTGCTCTACTACATAGTTGCCAACACTTGGTATTGATTGGCTTTGACATTTATATTTCTCAGTGGCTTTAATTTGCATTTTCCTGATCACTAATTAGGTAGAGCATCTTTTCATATACATTTTGCCCATTTATGTTTCCCTTTCTAGGAAATGTCTTTTTGTCCTTTATATTTTTCTATTAGATTGTCTTTTTTTCTTCAGATTTTTACAAGTTCTTTCAAAAAGGCTGCTTATACTAATCCCTGATGTCAAGACATTAGTCTGGTAGTAAGATGAATAAAATGAATTTATTTGTCAGGATAGATATTGTTGCCAACTTCAGTCAGGATAATTGCAATAGTGGCAAATCTAAATTAAAATTTTTTCTCCTTTCCTTTAACTATAAAGGATTCACTTTAAGAGATTTGGAAACTCTTCCCTTTGGAATTGCTCTTCCCATCAGAGATGCAATTTATCACTGTCGTGAGCAGCCTGCCTCAGACTGGCCAGAAGCTGTCTGTCTCTTGATTGGACGTCAGGATCTTTCCAAGCAGGCCTGCGAAGGAAACTTACCCAAAGGGAAGTCTGTGAGTATCAGCATGGAAAGTTCAGAGTTCCAATTTTAGCCTTAAATAAAATCATAAAGTAGAAATGTTCTTCATTTTCCTTTAAGGCTTTTTCTAAGTATATATATCAGCTTGTCTTTTATATTATATGCCATATGGGGTTTCTAATTGTACGCGTCTTATTAATTGTAAGTTGAGCATAGGAGCAGGAGATTTTGTGAATGTTCTATCTTGTGCCTAGATCTTTCTTTGCCTTGAGTCAGGACAAGTCCTGAGTGTAGTCGTGGAGACTACCATGGCTGTTTCCCTACTTGTACCACATTAGTAACTAACCACTTTGTAATTATTACATAGGAAAAGGGAGAGCACATATATCCTGAATTTGGATGGGTAATTATATATAAATATTTTCTACTGCGTATTTTTTGATGTGCTGAATTTTTTGAATTTAACCTTTTAAATAGGTGTAAACATACTTGTTTAATCACATAAAACTGTAGCCCCAGGGAAAACGTGTTTTTTTCACTAGTTGTTTAAAAAGATGTCTTAAGCTATCCCTCCTAAAATACTGTCTTTCATCAATCTTCAAGTTTGTTTTTTTTTAAAATGCATTCTAGGAATCCTGCAAGTAGAAAGTAAAATTATTTCATTACTCTCCAATTATCTTTTTAAGTCATCCTCTCTTAAAAGTTGAACAGGAAACTTTTAAAACTTATTCTAGAATTCTAGGTAACTTTAAAAAATAAACAGTAGAATCTCATCAAGGAAGATTCAGGAATAATAATTCCACTCCTGGTGACTCTTTTATGTTCATGTCCGTGAGAAGACAGTGTGGGAATTTGGCCTTACCTCTTAGTAGCTTTTGAATCAATACATAATAATCAGTACATTGTAACTATGAGTCACCTTAGGTCTTATTACTGCTTCTTCAGAGCCTATATCAAAACTTATTCCTAACCTCACAGTTGCCTAATGAGTACCCATGCTGGAGTCAGTTTCCATGGGCATCTGATTCTCCAGCAGGGTCATCCCAGCGCATCTCTCCCTTAATCTGCGTCTCAATCACAGCTGTTTGTTGAATTAGTATTTATATCCTGTTTTAAACAGAAAACAAATCTTTTTGCTTATAATATGGCTTTCCTGTGAGAGAGAGCAGTTCAGCACCATTAGCATGAAAACATTAATCTGTATTTGAATGTCATCTTAAGTAATTCTGTCTAAATACAGTTTGTTCAGTTATTTGAGGCTACATTTTATAACTAATCCCATCTAAATTTATTTTGTCACTATTTGAGACTATATTTTATAGCTCACTCACCCATTAGAATATAGTTTTTTTTAAATTAGATATTTTATAGGAACCAAAATGAATTTTTAGGAACTAAAAGTGATTATTTGGTCATATCTACTTTTTTTTTTTTTTCAGGCTAACCTTGTTGTTTTCATATTAAATGTTGCAAAACTTTAACATTTCAACTCGGAGTTAATCTTTTGTTAAAAGAGTATAATACTGTTTTTGAGGGAATATGATATGATTCCATGCAGTTCACATCTGTGTTGCCGTTAGGTTTAATTATTTGGACTGGGAAGCGCCATATTAAAGCACATGCTGGGCTTATGAGAACATGATGACAGTCAAGGAATTTACCCTCTTACTTGTTTTGCTGCAGTTCAGTACTTTTCCTTCTAAGAAATTTTTATTGGAAACACATTTTAAAAAAATAGTGAAAACTGGCTTGGTGAGGTGGCTCGTGCCTGTGATCTCAGCACTTTGGGGTGGCCAAGGTGGAGGACTGCTTGAGCCCAGGAGTTTGAGACCAGCCTAGGCAACATAGTGAGACCTCATCTCTACTTAAACAATTTTTTAAAAAAGTTTAGCCAGGTGTGGTGGTATGTGCATATAGTCCTAGCTGTTTGGGAGGCTGAGATGGGTGGATCTCCTTGAGGTCAGGAGTTCAAGACCAGCCTGGTCAACAGGGCAAGACTCTGTCTCTACAAAATCAAAAAAAATTAATCTGGATGGGTGGTACACATACGTAGTCCCAGCTACTCGGGAGGCTAAGGGGGAGAGATCGCTTGAGCCCAAGAGGTGGAGGTTACAGGGAGCCATGATCCCACCACTGCACTTCCGGCCTGAGTGACAGAGTAAGACCCTGTCTCAAAAAAAAAAAAAAAAAGAAAAAATAATGAAATCCAACCATGATCCTATCTATTTAAAGTGTAAAGTAAGAAAGTATTTTATTGTGTGACTTCCCCCAACCCTTGGTGTATATCCTTTCAGGCTTTTTTCCTTCTCCTTCTATTAATGAACAGACAGTATTTAAATTAGCATTATTAGCAGTGACTAGTATTCATACTCTACTTGCAATAATTTCTTTCTTTTTTAAAATGATCAGGATGTAGTTTTTTTTATAGTTTATTCAGAATATTTCTCTGCTTGTGTCCAGCCTCTTGACTGTTGTCCTAAATTTAAATTTTCCCCCTTATTTCACGTAGCAAATATTTCTAAGTAGGGAATATAGTACTTTTGTTTGTTTGTTTTGATTTTTGTTTGTTTGTTTGAGACAGAGTCTCACTCTGTCACCCAGGCTGGAGTACAGTGGCGTGATCTCGGTTCACTGCAACCTCTGCCTCCCGTGTTCAAGTGATTCTTCAACCTCAGCTTCCCCAGTAACTGGGACTACAGGAGTGCGCCACTGCATCTGGCAAGCTAATTTTTGTATTTTCAGTAGAGACCAGGTTTCACTGTGTTGGCCAGGCTGCTCTGGAACTTCTGACCTCAGGTGATCCGCCCGCCTTGGCCTCCCAAAGTGCTGGGATTACAGGCGTGAGCCAGCAATATAGTACTTTTTAAAAAGATTTGTAGAGTCGAGTCCTGGTATATATTGCAGCCCCAACCCATCCCTGCTTTGGAAAACGTACTTTCTCTGTGCTTACTGTAGTCATGGAACATCAGCCTATATATTTTCGTGTTCAGTAAGTGCATGTTGACTGCTTTTTAAATTATTATTACAATAAAGTCTGTTACTCAGGTGCTCTCATCAGATGTTCCTTCAGGAACAGAAACTGAGGAGGAAGATGACGGGATGAATGACATGAATCACGAGGTCATGTCATTAATATGGAGTGAAGATTTAAGGGTACAGGATGTGCGAAGGCTTCTTCAGAGTGCGCATCCTGTCCGCGTCAACGTAGTGCAGTACCCGGAGCTCAGCGACCACGAGTTCATTGAAGAAAAGGAAAACAGGTGAAAGAAAACACTGTGCACTATCTCTTGTCATGTTTTATTGTTACATTTGGGTCTTGTTTATATTTGTTTTTCCTTCAAGTTTTTAGCATTTAAAACCCTAAAGAGATTTAAAAGATACTTTCAAGTTAAAATGTGCCCTCTGTTTTAAGCTTTCATCCAACTTCAACAAACCACGTGTGTTAGCAAAATATCTTTGGCTTTTGAGGACATAATGGTTGTATTTCAGATCTTCCTCCTCTTGAAATACGTATAACAATTTACTCTTTAGAAAAGGTGAATGTAAAACCATTTTGCCTGGTAGTTTCCTTAAGAATTTACAAACAAAGAAAACACTGGCCTTGTTTTTCTGTGTCTTGATCAGGATAGATTTTGAGGTTAGTGGCGTTTTTAGTGTAGTTTAAACTTACATCAGTATTTTTTTTTTTTGATATGATAGATAATACTCCAAATAAATAGATAAGGCAAACTAGATAAGCCTTTCTTCTGCTACTCCCCTGCACAGGATACATCCCTTGATACATTTTAAGACTCAGTGGTAAACGACATCACATGCCTGTGACATTCCAGAGCTATTCTCTTGGGACACTTCTATTTTAAAATTCTCTCCTGTTCTTTTATCTGCTTGTGTCTATTGTCTGTCATTCATCTGCCACTGTTTTCTAGTTCTCCTTACTTTTTTTATGGTACTGCTTTGAGGGGAAGGGTCACCCACATTCAGCCACAGGCTGCTGAAGATCTGAATTAGTTGTGATTTCCCTATCAACTGTTTCTTCCCCACAAGTCCCCAGTTATTAGTCGCCTGTGAATAAGGAGATGGAGTGACTTGAGTTAAGAGCTAGGATTTATGAGCATGACCTCTAGAGCCAGGCGTGGCCATGCTGTGCTGGGTGACTTTGGTTAAATTACTTTACCTCTTGTTGCCTCAGTTGCCTCATCTGTAAAAATAGGCATTCCTCATGGGATGGTGCTATGTATCAAGTGAATTATTTTTACATAGCACTTAGAATACTGCCCAGTACATGGTAAAGCTCAGTGCAGTCAGCCAGTATTAGTAGTAGAGTGCATTGATTCTAAGATGCACATTTTTTCACTTTTTAATATCTCTGAAATCAGATGTGTATTTCAGTGAATAGGTGTCATACTTTAATTGGCAGTGCTTTTTCTTTCTTAGTATCTCATGAAATAATGATACATCTTATCAGTGGCATCTTATATTCAGGGGATATAATATTGTTCTCATTATAATTGTGTTCTGCAAAGTTGAAGTGAATTATGTATATGATTTCCTCTAAAAAAATTCTATGGGCTGCAGCAGCCTCTTTGAATTTTCCTGATCCCAAATTAATGTGGCGGTTGTGTTCCCAGAGAATCTTTAAGACAGAAAAATTTTTCTTTCCAGTTAGCTAGAAAAGCAGTTATGTGTGTCCGGTTAAGGAGGGAGTATGCTTATGAATAGCTTTGTCTGCAGAGAAGATGTTCGTCACTTGTCAGCCTCTAAAGGGATGTTTCTGTGTCTTCAGATATAACTTGTGTAAGCATTTCTTAGTTATAAATGCCCTACTTCCAAAATTTCTGTTAGTTTTTTTTAAGTACCTATATGGAATGTTAAGCTGTTTTAACATAGGAACAAGTTGAAGAGTTGTATATTAATTTCACAGTAGAGCCCACAGAAACCATTTTAACCTTGAACATACCTGATATATAATGGTATTAGTCCTATAAATCTAGTCATCATGTAAGTGAAACCAGTCTGTATTTCCTGTGGAGCCATCATGAAATCCATTCACCTCTAATAGAGGGACCTTGTTTCTTTTCTTGTGTACAGGCCACAGAAATGGCACTTCTGAGGCTGTATTGGCAAAAAGGGATGGGAGGAGGATCTCACATGTACTGAGGACAGCTAGACTGAAATTAACACAGTGATAAAAAACCCCCAAAGTACTGTATTTTCCTTTGAGAAGGTTAGCATCCATCAGAGTGGAATTTTAAATTTCTTTTTTTTTTGAATGCCTAGAGACAGTTGGCTTGGTTTATAGGCCAGGTGGTTTTCATTCAATGTAAATATGAAACAAAACGAAGGAAATATGTCTGTCCCTAAGAGTGTAATAGGAACAAGAATATTAAAATGAAAATAATCATGTTTGGGTGGTTCACTCACATCTTTGTATGAATTTACTTTGAGACAACTTCATCTTACATAGAATACCTTTTGAAATATTTACAGATGATATTTCCATTGTGCTTTGCTGTAAAAATTTTCACACGTTGGTTTTTACTTTAATTACAGATTGCTCCAGTTGTGTCAGCGAACTATGGCTCTTCCTGTAGGACGAGGAATGTTTACCTTGTTTTCGTACCATCCTGTTCCCACAGAGCCATTGCCTATTCCTAAATTGAATCTGACTGGTATGTTAAATTCTGGACTCAATGAGAAAGGAAAATGATTAAGTACATGCATTAAGTGTAGTTCTTTAAATTAGTTAAGATGAAAGAAATGCTCCCTCCCTCCCCATTGATTTTAAATATTCCTAATAGCTGCTATAGTGGTTATCAAAGCTCAAATACCACGTCAAACTAAACCTCGAGAGAAGCAGATTATAGCTCATTACTCATTTTTGCTTTTTAATGAGGTGATCTCAAGATATAAAAAGTCACTTGGAGAAGCTCAGAAAGATATTATTGATAATGACGAGTATTAAATTTTGAATAATCTTAAGTATAATATATAAAAATATTTAGTTTTAAAATGTCTTATGTCATAGTTTGAACAGATGATCATTGTATAAATCAAGGAATGTACTAAGCAAAAAGAGAAAAAAATGGTTACTTACAGTATTCCCACTCTTCTGCGTCACTCCATTTAACATTTTAGTATATATGTTTCCCAAGTTTATTTCCACATATTTATAATTTTATATTTGTTTAATTATCAGAAAATATAGATCTATTTTAGTTATTTTTCTTAAAATTTACAGTGAACATCCTTTTATATTTAGCAAATGTATGTGTTTATAATTATGTGTATGTATTGTATACATACATGTGTTTTTAATTGATACATTCATTTTTATTTGCTTCCGAGTATTTCATTCAGTGGATATACCACAGTTTACAGAAGCAGCCTGGTATTGTTGAAAATTACAGTTTTTGATATTATAAACATTGTTGGGGCATATTTGTCCTATGTACTTAGACGCAATGCTTAGAAGTAGAACTCTTAGGACACCAAGATGAATGGTTTTAAGGAACATGTCAAATTGCTTTTCTGGTTGGCATGAGTTTTTATTTCTGCCATATATAACTGTAGTTATAGTCTTGATTACAGTGAGTTTTATAGTGCATGTCCACCTAATGCTGATTTGAATGTGTTCTGAAGGTGACAATTGCATAGTTGAAATTACCATTGAAACTCTATTGTAGTATATATGGTGTTGTGAAACCTGTACAAAATGTATGTATAGTGTATGTAGTAGTGTATTATATATATAGTAGTATATAAAGTATAATGTAATGTATAATAGTATATAATATATGCGAACATAATCGTACAGTATTTTAAATTGCATACTTTAAAAAATCCAGAGTTCCACTCAGATTTGTGAAAAGCATGTGCTTTGAGCAGCATGCAGGAAATGAGATTGACTAAGTGAAGAACACATTCCCATCTCCATATCATGCTTATTCTGAGCCCTAATCTCTTTAAGGGACATAGTGAGCAGAGTTGCTTTTAATATTTAAATTGTCTCAGAGGTAAAGCACCAGTGGCAAAATCATAACAGTTATTGATTCTTGATGGAAGGCATGGTATATAGATGTTCATTTTAGTAGTCTTTCCAACTGTTTATATGAAAGATTTCATAGAATAAATGTGGGTTAAAAAGAAAATCTCATGCAAAATTGGCAGGTGTTAAAATGTATTCAATCTGGGTGATTTAGTACTCAAGTGATACTTGGGTGGGTTCTAAAAAATATATACATGCATCTTTTTTTCTGAATACATTTAATTGAATTTGCATGATTTAAAATGTGCTTATGACATTAATCCAATGTTTTATTCTTTTAGTCATTCTGGTAGGCCAAAAAGAAAGGTTACCTGTTAATTTAGGAAAAAATATTTTCTTAAATAGTTGCTTAATCCACACTGATGTGACCTGTTGTACTTTTGTATGTTGTCATTGTCACTGAAGGAAATTTACCTCACCCTTTGCATTTTATTTTCTCTCGTGTGTGAGTGTTATGTCTTATGCATATGATGAATGAAAGTTTTAGAAAGGTTATTCAGTTTTTCCATATTGATATGTCTGCCTTTTTTGAGAAAGTGCAAGTGTAACTTACGAACTTATCACTCATTGTGGTGCTGTCTAACACTAGCAGTTGAGTTAGCTTTTAGGTACAAAAAGCGTTTAGTAAAGACAAATTAGTCTTACTTTGTGCTTTCTGTGTATATGTATACATGCTACAAATAAGACACTCTACATCTACTTAAAATTTATTTTACATAACATCTTAGAACTCTTTTAAAATGATATTTTCTTTTTTTTTTTTTGAGACGGAGTCTCACTCTGTCGCCCAGGCTGGAGTGCAGTGGCCGGATCTCAGCTCACTGCAAGCTCCGCCTCCCGGGTTCCCGCCATTCTCCTGCCTCAGCCTCCCAAGTAGCTGGGACTACAGGCGCCCGCCACCTCGCCCGGCTAGTTTTTTGTATTTTTTTAGTAGAGACGGGGTTTCACCGTGTTAGCCAGTATGGTCTCGATCTCCTGACCTTGTGATCCGCCCGTCTCGGCCTCCCAAAGTGCTGGGATTACAGGCTTGAGCCACCGCGCCCGGCCTAAAATGACATTTTCAAAGCTCCAGTGAACTGGATAACTTTATGCAGTAGTTAAAATATTTATGTTAATTATTTTATCCGTGACTTAAGACAATATTCAAAATATATATAAAAAGATTCAATATTTGCTGTATATAATGTAGATCAAAAAGAAAAGAATCAACAAAAAGTTCATAGAAAACATATAGCATTGTGAACATATAATTTACATTGCTTTTAAATAAATGGACCGTAAAAGCAAATCTAGTGAATGCCCTTTTGAAGTTCACTGGGTGACTCAAGTCTATAAAAGGATGCTTTTTATAAAGCTATCTCTAAACATTTTAAACAATAGCATATAATTAAATGTCTGTATCTGTATGTATATATATAGAGAGAGGAAAAAAAGAGAGAGGGGGGGCATATATAGGTAAGAGCTGTAGCAGATTTATTTAGGTTCTTGTTTTTTTTTTTTTTTTTTTGAGATGCAGTTGTCTGTTGCCCAGGTGGGAGTGCAGTGGCATGATCTTGGCTCACTGCAACCTCCACCTCCAAGGTTCAAGTGATTCTCGTGCCTCAGCCTCCCAAGTAGCTGGGACTACAGGCATGCACTACCAGGCCTGGCTTTTGTCTCTTCTTAAGATGTCATTTTTCCTTAATGTCCATGGAAAAATATAGGATAGAACATTCGAAATTAACACCAATGTCATCAGATGTTGGGATTTATAACTTGTGTAGTTTAGCAGTGATGTTAGTCTTCATTTTGGTTTCTAAGCTCTCTACTGTTTGAAAGAAAGATTTCAAAGCAGTGATTATCCCAATCATCTCTGTATAATGTTAAATTGGTATCAGTTATCTCATTATATAGCCTCATACATTTTAACAAAAAGGACCATGAACTGTTTAGACAGTGAAGGTTTTTCCAGTTTGCATTAAGTTTGACTCACATGTACAAAAGTTGTAAGTCGTCATAGAGACCTAACATTCCAGGCATTGATGGTTTTGAATGTAGAAAATGTAAGTAATCTTGGTCTCAAAGATCTAGTCTTGGTTTTGTGAACTTTTGTTCTCTCAATGTTAAATTTTGTTTGGCTGGATAGGGCGTGCCCCTCCTCGGAACACAACAGTCGACCTTAATAGTGGAAACATCGACGTGCCTCCCAACATGACAAGCTGGGCCAGCTTTCATAATGGCGTAGCTGCTGGCCTGAAGATAGCTCCTGCCTCCCAGATCGACTCAGCTTGGATTGTTTACAATAAGCCCAAGCATGCGGAGTTAGCCAATGAGTATGCTGGCTTCCTCATGGCTCTGGGGCTGAATGGACACCTCACCAAGCTGGCGACTCTCAATATCCATGACTACTTGACCAAGGTGAGAGCCTGTGCTCCCAGTGCCTGGCTAGCAGTAGCTCCTGCTTGCTCTGTTTGCTCTTCTTTCTTCATTCTTGTACTTCTAAGTCCATTTGTCTCACAGTACCTGGAATAATCTTTCTAAAGCGTAAATCAGAGCATGTCACTTCCTTGGTCAAAGCCATTTAATTAATGATCTCCCGTTGCTCTTTTTTTTTTATTTTGAGTAAGACGGAGTAGAATTTAATGAGTGACAGAAAAGCTCTCAACAGCGAGAGGGGACCCAAAGGTGGGTTGCCGGCCACAAGGCTGAATCTAGGGGTTCTTATGGGCGTGAAATGAGTGTGCATGCTGATTGGTCTGTGGGTATGCTTGAGAAAGCACCATTTAGAAATAGGCACGATAGTATAGAGGACCAACTGGGGAAGGACAGGTATACGTAAAGTAGGTGAAGGATAAGGACCAATCAGGAGAGAGCGTGCCAAACAGGAATGAGAGCTCTCTGGTCCATGGATGTATCCGGAACTTGCAGCTTGGTTTTCTGGCTTTCGACTGTCCTTGGCTTGAAGGTTGAGTTTCACCTGAGAACTTACCTGCCTCCTATCGCTATCAATCCCCGCCCTGAAGAAGTACATCTAACTGCCTTTCGGATAGGCGTGATGACTGTTCTAACTGCTTCATGCTGACAGAGGATGTGGTTTTGGGAAGCAGCAGTCAGGTCTCTCTTACAGGCCTATCTAAGGGTCCCTGGTAAAAGGGAGCCATCAGCCGAGGTTCCATTTGCATGACCATTTGGAGTTTGATGGCCTCTAGGCGACAAAAAACACATTTTACAAGGAGGTTAAGTACACATGAACCAAATGTGAGTATTGCAATGAGAGCATAAACAGGAACTAAAAGGGGGAAAATCCATGCCCGTATATTAGGGAAACCTAGAAAGGACAGAAAGAAAACCTCTGAAAATGGAGTGTTCTATTCCAGGATTTTGCAAAATAGGGTTGTCATGGGCATGTCCCCCTAGATCATTAGATATGTTATAATTAGGCATTGTAATGCCTTTAATTAGATTTCTGACCATAGGCTGCAGAATCCAGTAATGCCTGATAATCCCCTTAGTTAGCTGAGGGTCTTGGGGAGAGGGGAAGGAGAAAGTGGGTCCAATTCTCTTCTTGCCCAGTGTCCTGGTCCCTTCTGACAAGACCAGGCCTAGGTTCTTCACTGAAGTCTGACGGAGTTGAGCCTTGGACTTTGAAACTTTATGTCCTCCGTCAGTTAGAAATTTAAGAAGAGCCTTACTGCCTTTCTGAGAAATTTCCTCAGTTGGGGCACAGAGGAGAGTGTCATCTACATATTAAGACTTTAACTTGAGTTTGAAAGAACTCAGAGAGATCTTTTGACAATGCCTGCCCAAACAGGTGGGGGCTGTCTTGGAATCCCTGTGGTAACACCACCCAGGTTAGCTGGGTAGTCTGGTTGGAGGGATCCCTGAATGCAAACAAGTTTTGGGAGTTGGGGTATAACAGTATGCAGAAAAAAGCGTCTTTTAATTCCAAGAATGCAAACCATTTAGTTTCCTCTGGTATCTAAGTTAACAAAGTAGAGGGATTGGGAACCACTGGGTAAATTGGTTCATTACACCAGTTACTCATTAAGGAGGTGGAGATCCTGGACCAGTCTCCATTCCCTGTTGGGTTTCTGTGCTCCCGATATTGGGGTATTACAAGGACTGTTGCAGGGTTTAACAAGGCCCTGCATCCTTAGGTTATTAATGATGGCTTCTAGCCCTTTCCTAGCTCCTGTTTTTAGGGGCTGTTGTCTTTGATTAGGGAAGGAGATGGGATCCCTGAGATGGATTTGGACCGGTGAGACTGTTGTAGCTCAGCCAGTTTTTCCTGAATTGCTCAAACCTCTGGATTAATATCAGTCTCTACCAGAGGGAGGCAAAGAGTCTGTCCTGGAGCCATAAGGATGGTGGTTCCCTTGTGAGCTAAAATATCCCTACCTCAGAGGAGTTGGGCTTTCAGGTATGATTAAAAAGCCATAGGTAAACAAAAGGTCTCCCTAGGTACAGCTAAGGGGTTGAGAAAAATATCTGGTCAGAGGCTTTCCTGAGATGCCCCTCACAGTCGTGCTAAGGGAGGAGGGAAGCCCGGTTTGGAGAGGAGGACAGGAATGGCTGCTCTGGTATTGAGGAGGAAGTCCATCGTCTGAGTCCCTTTGGCCTCCAGAATCACCCAGGACTCGTGGATGATAATACAGCCTGAGCTGTCAGAGCTGGGGAGGGGAGCCCTGGGACCCAGCAGTCCTGTTGGACCATTTGAGAAGCCGACTCTGAACCTGGAGACGGACGTCTCTGGAGGCAGTTCATCTTCCAGTGGTCTCCCTTACAGATTGGACAGGGCCGTGGGGGCTGCTTCTGGTATCGAGGGCAGTCTCTCTTTTAGTACCCCCACACTGATAATAGCTGGTCATAGAAGGAGAAGCTCCTTGGGGATCCAGAGGTTTATATGCCTGTATGGCAGCTATTAGTGCCTCTGCCTTTTTTTCGTTCCTTTTTTTCCTTTTTCTTGGACTTCCTCATGGTCCTGATTATAAAAGACCAAGGTGGTGACTTTCAGGAGATTCTCTAGGGTACTATCTGGTCCAATAGCTAAGTTTTTGCAGCATTCTTCTAATATCTGGGGCTGCTTGGGTTATAAACTTGTCTTTCAGAATTAACTGTCCTTTTATAGAGTCAGGAGAGAGATGTGTGTTTAATTAAAGCCTGTCTCAGTTTTTCCAGGAAAACAGAAGGGTTCTCTTCAGACCCTTGGTTTATGGTTGATCACTTAATGTAATTGACAGGCTTGGCTCTAGTTCTCAGACCTTCCAGTATGCATGCCTGAAAATGTTTTCTCTGCCACTTTCCTAGAGCAGTGTCTGAGTCCCATTGAGGATCTTTGGTGGGTACAACCTGCTTGACTGTCAGAAAGGGCTCCCTAATTTCTTCCCCTTTTTGGTAGGTGCCGTAATAAGATGCAAACATTTTATCTCCAAGTGTCTCAGCGACGTGTAAAGCCGTCTGCTTCTCTGAAGCTCTAAGTCTGGTTGAGAAGTAACATGATACCCTTCCATGAAAGCTCAAACACTTGAGTAAGGTTCTGAAAGGCTTCAATATACCTATCAAGGTTGACAAAATTTTCCTAGATTTCCTTTTATCTGCTTCAAATCTTTCATAGGACCATATTCACTAGGCATTTCCTGTAAAGGAAGAAGTGATGCTGGAACGTATCCAGATAGAACTCTTCTAACAGCATGAGGGTCAAAACGGGGCCTGGATAAGGGGGACAAGATGATCCAAGAGGAGTTGGGACCTGGGCTGGTGCAGGGGCCTCTGCCTCCTTCTCTAAGGAGACAGACTGTTTTTTCCCCTCTGTCTGGATTAAGTCTGCCTTGCTGGATATCACTGCTATAAGTGCAGGGTCTGTTCTACATTGCTGACAGAGCTTGGGGTTATCCCGCGGGGCAAAAAAGGCCTATACATATGGGATTTTTGATCATTTTCCTTCTCTGCAGTAGAAGAGATCTAACTATTGGATAGTATTAGAATTAATATTTTCCCCAGCTGACTAGGTCTGCCCATCTTCCAACTTCTAGCTGGGCCAAGCCTTGGTACTGATAAATGCCAGGCCTTTTTTCTTCAGAGTCTGAGGATCGAAGGAGTCCTAGTGTTTCAAGATGCACTTGAGAGGAGTGCAGGCTACCCATTTAGAAAGAGAGGGGGAGAAAGACGCATCCTTAGTCTTTCCCTCGGCCGTCCTGGAGTCCAAGGCGTCTCTCAGGCTTGCCTTGGTCGTGGATGTGCACGCAACCGCCATTCATGACCAGGGGAGGATCAAGCCAGCAGGAACCGTCCCGTTCACCTGCGCTCAGCCTTGACCCTCCTTGTTGACTGCCTTTGATTTCTCTGTCTGAATTCTATATAAGCTCGAGACTAAGATGAATCCAGGGGGTTCTTGCGTATTATTTGTCTATAATTTTCATTTGGCTGGCAGTTTATTTAGCTTCATCAGGCATAACCCAGCATCCTGCCATGAAAAGAAGCAATTTATCAAAGAGACACATAACTAAGTAACATTTCTCAGAAAAGCAGTAGGGAAAACATGATAGGAAAGATTGGAAGTCTTTGTCCGACACCAGAACAGGCTGTCGGGGACTGGGGGCCAGTCTAGGGTCCTTCGGATAACACCAAGGTACCCTTGGCCAGATACCTTTAGTTGCCCCAGGACCTTATTCTGATCCCATACAATGGCTGAACTTCTGTGAAGGGAAACTGGTTTAAAACAAGGCCAACATTCCCAACACCAGAGGAGAAAGAGGGATCAACAGTTGCTCTTAATATACATTCTAGGAGCTGGTGTGATCCTATTCACTTCTGCAGCCCTAGTTGTTACCACTGTTCTTTTTTTTTTTGAGATGGAGTCTTGCTCTGTCACCTAGGCTAGAGTGCAGTGGTATGATCTCGTCTCATTGCGACCTCCGCCTCTGATGTTCAAGTGATTCTCCTTCCTCAGCCTCCTAAGTAGCTGGGGTTACAGGTGTGCACTATCACACCTGGGTAATTTTTGTATTTTTGATGGAATCGGGGTTTGACCATGTTGGCCAGGCTGGTCTTGAACTCCTGACCTCAGGTGATCTGCCTGCCTCGGGCTTCCAAAGTGCTGAGATTATAGACGTAAGCCTCTGCACCCGGCCCCACTCTTCTTCTTGCTCCCCCACGCTCTAACCATACAGATTGGCTATTTTAGCTCCCTGGCAAACTAAACTCTTTCACTTCACAGCCTTATTTTTTTTTTTAAGGAATCTTTATTTATATAAATATATAAAATTCACATACCATATAATTCACTGTTTAAAGTGTATAGTGCAGTGGTTTTTAGTATATTCACAGAGTTGTGCATCCATCACTGCTGTTAATTTTAGAACATTTTCTTCACCCATAAAGGAACCTTGTACCCACTAGCATTCCTCTTGTACCCACTCCCCATTCCTCCACCCCACCCCCACCTTCACTTCAGCTCCTGCCCACCATTTATCCTCCGTCTCTATGGGTTTGCCTTTTCTATACCTTTCGTATAAATGGAGTCATACAAAATGTGGTCTTTTAGGATGGGCTTCTTTCACTTAGCCTGATAATTTCAGGGTTCATCCATGTTGTGCCATCTATCAGCAATTCATTCCTCTTTGTTGTTGAATAAATGTTTTATTTTATGAATGTACATTTTATTCATAAGTTGATGGATATTTGGGTTATTTGGACTTTTTAGCTATTATGAATAATATTGCTGTGAACATTTGTATACGTGTTGTTGTGCGGATGTATGTTTTCGTTACTCTTGGGTACATACTTAGGAGTGAAATTGCTGGGTTATACGGTAACTGTTTAACTTTTTGAGGAACTGTAAACTGTTTTGCATAATGACTGCACCATTTTACAACCCTGTCAGCTATACATGAGAGTTCCAGTCTCTCCATATTTTTGCCAACACTTGTTATATTGTGTTGAGTCCAGCCTCATTCTTTTGCGTGTGTCTTTCCACTTGTCCCGGCACTGTTTTTTGAAGACTGCCTTTTACCTATTGAATTGTCTTGGCACTCTTGTGGTCAGTTGATGTCAATGCGAGGGTTTATTTCTGAATCACCTCGGAACCATTTATATGCTGTTTTATTACCTGAAACAGTCTTCCTCACCTTCTAAACTTGAGTGTCCCCTTTCCTGCTACTGTTCCTGGCTAATTTGTTTTCATCCTTCAGGTCATAATATAAATTCCTTTGTATAATCTTTAGAGATTTCATCCCTAATAATCCTCTAGTCCCTCCCAATCTAAATTAAGCTCTTTTAAAATACTCTTTCATAATACTTTGTACTTTCTTATTGTACTACTTTTTAATAATATATTTGTTTATATTTTTTAATTTAACACTTTTTTTCCTATTAAGACATTAGGTCCATGAGAGCAAGGACCATGTTTGTTTAGTTTACCACTATATTCTCGGTGCCTCTCATTGTGCCTGTCAACATAAAAGTACTTCTTGAAAGTGGCAGGCAGTATTTTATTTAAACTACATATTTGTTTTGTTTCTATCTTAGGGCCATGAAATGACAAGCATTGGACTGCTGCTTGGTGTTTCTGCTGCAAAACTAGGCACCATGGATATGTCTATCACTCGGCTTCTTAGCATTCACATTCCTGCTCTCTTACCCCCAACATCCACAGAGCTGGATGTTCCTCACAATGTCCAAGTGGCTGCAGTGGTTGGCATTGGCCTTGTGTATCAAGGGACAGCTCACAGACATACTGCAGAGGTCCTGTTGGCTGAGATAGGTATGGGATTAATAGTGCTGAATCTTCATAGGCATGCACTTTCCACTCCACATAAATCCAAGTAAAAATGATAGTAATATTATAAAAATTAAGGAAAGACAATAGTAGCTTTTGTGAGCAAAGAATGATCTAGTACTAATTAAAAAAAAAATCTCTAAGTAATGTTATCCAAGGCTGATGTAACTTCAGGTTATTAACCTCCATATTTATTTGCTAGCTTATTACTGAATTCCAGTGGTCACATTTAATGAGGTACCTGTGGTTTTAATCATATATGAGTATGCTGTTTATCCTGCTATGTCTATACCAGCAATGTCTAGCAGTGGCCTGCACTTAAAACTCAAAGAGTAGATTGTTTTGGTCCCTGAGAGACACTAAACTATACACATCACAGTGTTTACTGTGTTGGATACAGCGCTTCCAATAGAAGTCGAGTAATTGACTCCTGCTTTCCTCCTTTACATGCTGGTGGGTATGTTGGTGATGAACCTGGAAATGGTAAGGTCCACACACTCACTTTAGTGAACAGTGTCTCTGTTTCTTACTGGGTCCAAACTTTTTGGAAATCTGTATTATGTGTTGTCTTTTTCTGCCTAATGGAAGTGTTATTGGCATTATTAATATGCTCAACAATTTAGTTACATATTTGTATGTCCTATTCAAGATCTTTTCTATATGCATTTCTGAATATATTGTTAAAGATGTATTATTTAGTATAATGGTATCAGATAGCTATTGCCACAGTGATGCTTCATACATACAGGCTTAACATTGGCCCAGGCAGCTCTGCTTTAGGCTGTAGCTGTGTAGCTGGCTGCTCTGCTGCTGTTCTGCCTCACCTGCCTTATTCTGGGACCCAGGCTGGAGGGTGTGTTTCTCTCATGGTGTTGACAGAAACCTAAGAGAGAACCAGTGAAGACCGGCACCCATAATTTAGTCTACTGTAATGATAGACGAAATTATTCCCAAAGTTGAAATGTTTCTGCTGTCAAAATACATAGTAGCGTAAGTTAGAGATCTGAAAAACACTTATTCAGAAAATATTCAACACTGGTTGTTAAAGCATGTTCGTCTGGAAAGTAGTTTACCATTCTTTGGCTACATCATGATGATGTCTGATGATGTCACTGCACAGTCTCACAGCTGTGGCATACTTCTTTTATAATGTATGTAGAAGATTTCATCTTTAATTCATATGTATGTGCCTTTTCATAGGATTACTCTTAGAATGTACATTAAAAATTCTGTTTGTATAGATCATTATTATAAGTGATTTTTAAAACAAATTTTGTATAATACTCATTGAGTTGATGGTCTGTAAAATGCTTTTTTTTGTTAACTTTTAGAACTTTTTAGATTGTTTTAATAATCCTTTGTTGTTATGTATAAACATTACACTGATTACCTTTGTGTGATTTTTTTTTTCTTTAATTTTTATTATTTATTTATTTATTTATTTTGAGACAGAGTCTTGCTCTGTCGCCCAGGCTGGTGTGCAGTGGCACGATCTCGGCTCACTGCAGCCTCTACCTCCCGGGTTCAAGCAATTCTCATGCCTCAGCCTACCAAGTAGCTGGGATTACATGTGTCTGCCAGCATGCCTGGCTACTTTTGTAGTTTTAGTAGAGATGAGATTTCTCCATGTTGGCCAGACTTGTCTCGAACTCCTGACCTCAAGTAATCCTCCTGTCTTGGCCTCCCTAAGTGCTGGGATTATAGGCAAGGGCTACCACGCCCAGCCTTTTTTCTTTTTTTTTTTTAATTGCATTTTTTTCCTATCGGGATAAAATTTTAGGAGTGTGAAAATTTTTTTCAGAGGGAAGGGTTTTATTTTATTTATTTATTTATTTTTTTTTTGAGACGGAGTCTCGCTCTGCCGCCCAGGCTGGAGTGCAGTGGCCGGATCTCAGCTCACTGCAAGCTCCGCCTCCCGGGCTCACGCCATTCTCCTGCCTCAGCCTCCCGAGTAGCTGGGACTACAGGCGCCCGCCACCTCGCCCGGCTAGTTTTTTGTATTTTTTAGTAGAGACGGGGTTTCACCGTGTCAGCCAGGATGGTCTCGATCTCCTTACCTCGTGATCCGCCCGTCTCGACCTCCCAAAGTGCTGGGATTACAGGCTTGAGCCACCGCGCCCGGCCTGGGAAGGGTTTTAATACATAGTACATTTTGTCATTTTCAACAAGGTAGCATTAGGGTTATAGGGTGCTTTTTAAAAGTATGAATTTTATATCCAGTCAGACTTCTGAGATCAGTGCACAGAAATTCTGCCATAGTAGGGCTCATTATTATATAGACTCGAAATAAATGTTGAAACATAATATTCAACAACAGTATAAGCAAGTGACCTCCTTATTCATTATCATCATTTGAACATGTTTCACCACATGTGATGAGTGAATTTGAAAGTAATGAAAGCAAAATGTAAGATATTTTGTTGAAGCTGTTGTTGCGATGCTGTCTCACTCTGTCGCCCAGACTGGAGTGCAGTGACCTGATTTCGGCTCACTGCAACCTCTGCCTCCCGGGTTTAAGTGATTCTCCTGCCTCAGCCTCCCGAGTAGCTGGGATTATAGGCACCTGCCACCCTGGCTAATTTTTGTATTTTTAGGAGAGACAGGGTTTCACCATGTTGGCCAGGCTGATCTCGAACTCCTGACCTCAAGTGATCCACCTGCGTCGGCCTCCCGAAGTGCTGGGATTACAGGCATGAGCCAGCACACCCAGCAGAGATGTTTTTTAAAAAAATAAAACTTTTTTTTGAATACTCTTCCCTTTAAAAATGTTTTCTATTACTTGGTAATTTTTTTTGGTAAGACTCAAAGTTTCATAGTATTTGAATATCATTGCTTATAAAGACTTAAATTGGCAAATTAAAAACTATTTTGGGCCCTTTTTTTTTTTTTTAGGTAGGTAAACCTACATTTGTGGACACCATAGTGTCATAACTTTCTGAATGGAGTTATATTCCATTCGTATCGCCAGTGCAACTTGCTAGAAAGTTAATTCTAAGATTTTTATGAGTTGCGATTTTGAGAGGCTAGTTTGAACTGTGTCGCTTTCTTTTTACAGGACGGCCTCCTGGTCCTGAAATGGAATACTGCACTGACAGAGAGTCATACTCCTTAGCTGCTGGCTTGGCCCTGGGCATGGTCTGCTTGGGGGTAAGCATAGTCTGTGCCTTCCCATGCTTGAGTTAGGGCATCTACACGTTGAAACAAATAACCTTGACACCTAAACCTGAATACTGTCCCTTACTATGACTTAATCTGCTGCCTAGCTCTCTTGTCTTTTTGGATATTTTTCAAAGTACCAGATTTGCAAATGGAGAGAAACTGTGGTCAAGAGTGGGACTTTAAGATTTATTTTCCTCCAGCTTACAGTGTTCATGAACAAACTAAAGGGAATGAAGTTTTTTTTTTCTTCCCAAGTGTTCAAGACATACAATGAATAAGTGACAGCCCACTACGACTGAAAACAGAAAATAGTGAAAACGTATATGATCGGGAGCCTTAAGAGTCTATAGTAGCTGCGTGAAACAAATCCTAACTCCCTTTTGCCATGGTGATGTTCACTGTGTATCCCAGAATGTTGTCCCAGTAACATCTGCCTTGTGACAGAATGCAATATCAGATTGACCCGTCTTTAACTGCATCCAAGAGATGTGTACAGAATTATCAGAAACATTTCATTAAATGATTGTTTCACTTGAAATGTGGTTCCCCTTAAAAAACCACCAATACATTGTTATGGTCAAACTAAATGATATAAAGAAAGTTATAAGGCTGAGGCAGTCAGGTCACCTGAGATCGGAAGTTTGAGACCAACCTGACCAACATGGGGAAACCCCGTCTCTACTAAAAATACAAAATGAGCCAGGTGTGGTGACACATGCCTGTAATCCCAGCTACTCAGGAGGCTGAGACAGAACAATCACTTGAACACAGGAGGCAGAGGTTGCGGTGAGCCGAGATCGCACCGTTGCACTCCAACCTGGGCAACAAGAGCGAGACTCCATCTCAAAAGAAAAAAAAAAGTTATGGTGGAAGGAATTTTTTCTCATGTGTGTTCTGAAAATCCACCTTGTGGTTGACCATCTGTTGGGGCCTTGAATTCACACTGGCACATGAGCTAAAGAGGCTGGTAGTATAATGGAAAAGAATTGGCTGGGTGCGGTGGCTCACACCTGTAATCCAGGCACTTTGGGAAGCCAAGGCGGGTGGATCACGAGGTCAGGAGTTCGAGACCATCCTGGCTAACACAGTGAAACCCTGTCTCTACTAAAAATATAAAAAAATTAGCCGGGCATGGTGGCGGGCACCTGTAGTTCCAGCTACTTGGGAGGCTGAGGCAGGAGAATGATGGGAATCCAGGAGGCGGAGCTTGCAGTGAGTCATGATCATGCCACTGCACTCCAGCCTGGGCGACAGAGCGAGACTCTCTCAAAAAAAAAAGTAATCACACAGGAATTGCAACTTGAATTCTGGTCCTAACTAGTGAGTCAAGTCATTTAACTACATTATTGTCTATTGCTTGATCAGCTTCATGGATTGTTGATGGCCATGTTTTATATGTAGCCCTGCAACTTACTGTAATAGCTGTATAACCTTGGGCTTAATCCCTCTGTGCCACACTTTCCTTATTTATAAAATGGGGTTTTAATAGTAGCTATTTAATATGGCTGTTCATTCATGTTAAACACACAGAATAGTGCCTGACACAGAGCATACGTTCAATAAATCACTATCATTATCATAGTTATTGTTGTTGGAAAAATTCTTACGTACAATAATGAAAGTATTCAGGTATTTACAGTTCAGGTTTCAATTATGTAACTAATATTTTTCTTTATTGTTAAATGTAACTAACTCTAAAGCTCTTACGTATTTTAAGACAGTACTTAAAGTTGAACATTCATGTATTAAAACTTTTGTGAGAATTATTAAACATTAATAACTCATGATTTATTAACTCATGATTAATGTTTGCTTTAAATTGGAAATAAAAAAACCCAAAACCTGAAATAACCTGCTTTGAGGTAAGTTAGTTCATTTTTATGTTTGTTATGGGTATATGTTGTGGATCTTCCTCCATAAGATTTCTTTTGACTTGTCTGTTGTTGTCTTTTCCAGCATGGCAGCAATTTGATAGGTATGTCTGATCTCAACGTGCCTGAGCAGCTCTATCAGTACATGGTTGGAGGACATAGGCGCTTTCAAACAGGAATGCATAGGGAAAAACATAAATCGCCAAGTTATCAAATCAAAGTAAGTACACATCAAAGTAACAGATCAAAAGTCTGGAAGCTAGGAAGTTAATTGGGAAATACTAGTGTTCATACTAACACTGGTAAATATGTTAATTTTAAACATAGCTAGTATTCAGAGGAATTTTATAATAATTCAGAACTCTTTTACATGCATAAACTCTTCTTTCAATAGGAGGGAGATACCATAAATGTGGATGTGACTTGTCCAGGTGCTACTCTAGCTTTGGCTATGATCTACTTGAAAACCAATAACAGGTATTTCTACCCACCCACCCTTCCTTCCGCCATGATAGTGTGATATCCTCTCTCACCTTGGTTGTAAAATTCAGTTATTTCATGTGTTTATTTCTCCTGTACTGGATTAAGCTGATTTTCCTTCTTTCAAATACTGTAAGTTTTTGGAGGAAAACTTGCAGTATTTGAAGTTATAAAGATTTTACCTAGAAATAATATATTTGGCTATTTTAATGGTATTTGACAATATAGTTTTCAATTTCTGTTCATTTCTGTTTTGTAGTTGATGTCAGTAACACCCAAACAATGCCCCTGTTTGTTTTCATCAGTTTAGCATATTGCTGTGATGACTGGTTAAGTCAGAAGTCCTCATCATTAGTCTGATCTTGGTTACCTGTAAAACAATGGTTTTTGCCTACTTCAAGAGCTTTTGTAATTACCAAACCATCTACCTTCCCAACCTGCTATATTAGTGCTGACGCTTGAAAGTAGATTTTTGGCATTTATGCTTACACTTTGCATAGAAGAGTAAGTTGAGTACAGGACATTATGCCATGTATTATGTCTATTAATTTAAAAAAAATTCTAAGATTCAAGGAACTTTTCAGTGTTTTACATTTCTCCCTTTAGAAAAAGTAAATGTGTGCAGAATTAACAAAGTGTTTAAAAATAGGTATTTATCATTTACTGTTTGGATGAATGTGTAGGGCAATGCTTCCTTGGCACTGGGGATATTTCATTGAGCAAAACTAAAAGTATCTGCCCTCGTGGAGCTTACGTTATAGTAAGATGTTATAGTAAGATGTTATATGTACATCTATAATAACTATTACGTTAGAAGGTGTAAAGTATTGTGAAAAATGTGTAGAGCAGTAGTGGAGTGGGAAGAAATGTTTTGAAACAGATCTTGAGATTCTTGATTGTCTTGCTCTCTACTTGAGCAGTGTCCCTTACTGTTTTCCTCCACCACCAGATCTATTGCAGATTGGCTGCGAGCCCCTGACACCATGTATTTGTTGGACTTCGTGAAGCCAGAATTTCTCTTGCTTAGGGTATGCTTTGTCATTTTTCATTTGTGTTAACATGAGAAGTCTGTTTATGGTTCTTAAACTTAGCTTGTAAGCCGGGTACAGTGGCTTATGCCTGTAATCCCAGCACTTCAGAAGGTTGAGACAGGAGGATTGCTTGAGCCCAGGAGTTTGAGACCAGCCTGGGCAACATAGGCTGGTCTCCATGAATGAATGAATGAATGAATGAATAGCAAACACAAATGTCTTTACAAGAGAGCCTTTTATTTTTAATTTGTCATGCATATCTAATTGGCAGTGTTCATTTGAAATTTCGCAAATAGGACTTTCAGAATCCCAAGAAAGGTAACCACATTGATACATAATACTTGGAGTGATGTTTCACTTTCTCACATTATCATTCAAAACTTCCTAAAAAGCAACAAATGATTAGGACTTTTTTACTGCTTTATTTTACATTTTTGGATTACTATCAGGGATGTAATAATACTGTTAAGGTTGAATCTAAAGAAAATAACAATTTGACTTAATTGTCTCAAATTTTCCCTCTAATTCTTTTTTTTCTGATGTTTAAACTGAGCATATGGAAGCTTTTAAATTATGATGTAGATAGAGTATGATTCTTTCCTTTGTGATTTTTTTTTCTTTTCCAGAGTACATTTTAAAAAGTACCCCCCACGCCCTCTAAACTTTGATGATGTTCAACTCAATTTTAGTTTTTCTTTGTTAAAATTTAAATCTTTATTTTAATGAGTAGTTTAGGTTGATACTACAGATGGTTCCCAACTTAGGATTTTTAACTTAACCATAATGTGAAAGTGGTACTCATTCAGTAGAAACTGTATTTCCAATTTTGAATTTTAATTTTTTCTCGTACTCCTGGCGGTATGATGCTCTCCTGGTGTTGGGTAATGGCAGCAAGCTGCAGCTCCCAGTCAGCCATGCAGTCGTAAGGGTAAACGACCCATCCTCCACAGTTTACTATGAGAATTTATAGTAATTTCACTCAATTATAGGCTAATGTGAGTGTTCGGAGCATGTTTAAGGTAGGCTAGGCTGAGCTGTGATGTTTGGCAGGCAAGGTGTATTAAATGTGTTTTCTTTTAACTTTTTTTTTTTCTTTTTTTTTTTTAATAAGATGGAGTCTCGCTCTGTTGCCCAGGCTGGAGTGCAGTGACACCATCTTGGCTCACTGCAACCTTCGCCTCCTGGGTTCAAGCTATTCTTGTGCCTCAGCCTCCTGAGTAGCTGGGACTACTGGCATGTGCTACCATGCTCGGCTAATTTTTGTATTTTTAGTAGAGATGGGGTTTCACCATGTTGGCCAGGGTGGTCTCAAACTCCTGACCTGCAGTGATCTGCCCGCCATGGTCTCCCAAAGTGCTGGGAGTACAGGCATGAGCCACTGAGCCTGGCCTAAATGTATTTTCAGCTTAAGGTATTTTCGACTTACAATAGGTTTATTAGTGCCTGTAAGCATTAGGGCACTAATGCTTAGTGCCCTAAGCATTTACATATACTTATTTTTCCTGTATTTGCATATACTTATTTTTCAAAATTCTCGTCAGTTGGGAACTGATTCTTAAATTGTTCTGTTTATTATTATCATGTTATAAAGTCTGTGAACTTTACCTGCTCTAATTAATTTTATCTCTGTTGCATTTTTAAGACACTTGCTCGATGCCTGATTTTGTGGGATGATATTTTACCAAATTCCAAGTGGGTTGACAGCAATGTTCCTCAAGTAAGTACATATAATAAATATTATATCTTTAGTAGCATAAAATTATGATCTTATGGGATTTTTCAAAATTCTGTAAAATATTTTTTCTTATGAAGGCAATATTGATCATCAGGATACTTCTTAAAGACCTAAGAACTTTCATTTTAAGATTCTGTGCTGCACAGACAACAGTCTTCTCTTTTAGCCTCCGTTCCCTAGAAATTGTAGTTTTTAAAAATTAAATATGAATATCGGTGTCGTGTGGGAGTTAAGAAATGAAAGAAAAAAACTAAACGTTTGCCAAAATACTCTAAAGTGTTCTTGATATTTTTATCATAATTAAATACACATTTATTTTATTTATTTTTTTTTTTGAGATGGAGTCTCGCTCCATTGCCCAGGCTGGAGTGCAGTGGCGTGATCTCGGCTCACTGCAAGCTCTGCCTCCCGGGTTCCCGCCATTTTCCTGCCTCAGCCTCCCGAGTAGCTGGGACTACAGGCACCCGCCACCACGCCCGGCTAATTTTTTTGTATTTTTAGTAGAGACAGGGTTTCACTGTGTTAGCCAGGATGGTCTCGATATCCTGACCTTGTGATCCACCCTTCTTGGCCTCCCAAAGTGCTGGGATTACAGGCATGAGCCACTGTGCCTGGCCTAAATGCGCATTTCTAAGATGCTATTTTACTTCATGACGATTTTAGATCTCCTAATATAATAACTCTTTTAATTGCTTTATATCATATTTATTTGATAAGGCAAATATACTAGTTAAAAATAAACGGATTTTTTTGGTAAAAACTCAAAATTGAGTGTTGTAACTAACCACTGCCCTTAGTCAACTGTCCATGCCTGGTGGTCTCAGTTTCTTTATGTAGATTGTTTCAGTATTTTCAGAAGAAAAATCTCAAAAGGTTGAAAGAAGTTTATATGAACATCCACATCACCTATAGACTCTACAATAATATTTTATGGTATAAACATGTTTAATCACTTATCCACTTATCTGTTCCTCTACCTAATCCAACATTTTTTGATGAATTTCGATGTTAGTTCCAAACAGTAATATACTCCATCCTGAAATTGTACCATACATATTAACTGTAATTGATATTTATGTTTTTTCCTTTTAAGATAAGATTTATATATTGTGAAATGCACCAATTTTAAGTATCCTATTGGATAAGATTTGACTAACTAACACATAGGCCTGTGGAAACCAGCCTCTGTCCCTTGTGCCCCTTCCTGCTTTGTGCATTCACCCCTGCCCCCAGGGTAACCAATATGAATTTTGTTTTTCCCCCAAAATGTATTAATTTCCTGATGTAGAACTTTATATTAATGAAGTCACATACAGCATATACCCTTTTGTATAAGACTTCTTTCAATGTTTTCAAGATATTGAGTATATTAATAGTTCATTCTCCTTTTTATTATTAGGTGATACAGATTGAGTATTTCTTATCTGAAATGGTTGGGACCAGAAGCGTTGTTGAATTTTGGAATACTTGAAATTATACTTACTGGTTGAGCATCCCTAATCTGAAACTCTGAAGCCTGAAATACTCCAATGAGCATTTCCTTTGGGCATCATGTTAACGTTCAAAAGGGTTCGGATTTTAAGCACTTTGGATTTTGGATTTTCGGATTAGGGATCCTGTGTATTCCATTTGCGGTCCTATTAGGTAGGGTTGGAATGACTGAGGCATAGGGTAGACGGTATATTTAGTTTTGTTAGAACTAATAAATCCTTTCCTAAAGCGGCTGTACCATTTGACACATTGACCAGCAGTGTTTGAGAGTGTTGGCTGTTGCACATCTCACCGATATTTAGTGGTGTTAATTTCTTAAATTTTAGTGCTGCTGATGAATATGTAATGATATTCTCATTGTTGTTTAAATTTGCATTTCTCTGCTGGCTATTGATGTTGATAACTTTTTCGTTGGTTTATTGGTCCTCCATCTATCTTTTTGTGAAGTGTCTGTGCATGTCCTTTGCTTATTTTTAAAAAAATTTTGTATTTTTATTACTGCATTGCTGGAGTTTTTTATGCATTCTGGAAACCTGTTCTTTGTCAGATTTCTTTTGCAAATATCCCTCCCAGTCTGTGGCTTGCATATTCATTTTCTTAGAAATAGTTTTGATGAGCAGAAGATTTTACAGTGTTAAATAATGTCTGATTTGTCGGTTTTTTCTTTTGTGGTTATTCTCTATTCCTATAAAAAAACCATTTGTCTAACCCCATCATGAAGATAATCTCTTCTACTTCTCTCTAAAAGCCTCCGAAGTTTTAGTTTTTATGTATACTTACATAATTCATTTCAAAGTAATTTTGGTTATGATATGAGGTACAGGTTGAGGTTGCCTACCAGGGAAGCTCATCAGAGACTCAGTGCCCAAGTTTTTAATTGGGAGCTGACATGTAGGTAAGGTACCCTCTGCCTTGCATGTACTAAAGTTCCAGATTCTCAGGAGAATATGTGTTAGCTTAAACCACGTTGTTTGTAGTTCAGGCACAGTAAACCCAGATATATACATTTTGTTTTAAAGCAACCAATTAATTTACTTGGAATTAGATTGTCACTCTCTCTTGGTTGCTAGCTCTAATCTCGGTGCACGTCTTTATCCTGTGGGCTGTTGGAGTCTGCCCTGTGCACACCTTGTTCATGGATCAGGCAGACATTTGCACAGAATTTATATACACAGAGCTTGGGGCCCTGTCTCTGTGGCTCTCTTCTTTGTAGTATTCTGTCCTGTCCTCCCAATGGGTGTGGTATTTTCCTGTATCCTGGTTGTTAAGGCCAAGAAGGTTGTGAGCTTTTAATTGTAGCTTTTGTCGTCTTTCTTGGCCCAGACAGACCTGCTTTCAGAGTGGAAACCAAGGAAAGGAAAATGTACCTAGTGTTGTTCCTCTCTTCCATGAATCAACTGTCCCCTCTAGAATCTGCTTGCTTTTGTTCTCACTCCAGTGCCTTGAGTCAGGAGTTGGTGAATTAAGCCCACCTGATTTTTAGAAAGAAAATTTAATTGGAATATGGCCATGCCCATTTGTTTACTTATTGTCTGTAGCAGTTTTTTGTTACAAATGCATAGATCAGTAGTTGCTGATATTTACTATTTGACCCTTTTAGAAATAGTTTATTGACTCCTGTCATAGATAGTTTGGATTTTATATTTTGTCTAGGGTTTATACTTGTTGTATGAGTTGGACCCGATAGGAGTTTATTCATCTATTATTTGAGGAAGTAGAACTCCTAGGTTTGTTTTTATTTGTTTAGTTCTTCCAGTTTTGTTAATCACTGATATGAAAGAGGTGAGGAAGAATTGTTTTAAATGACTCGCTCATTTGTTACCATAATTTTAACTGCTAGCCTATTCAGATGTCAGAGCTTTTAGTTGGTTGGAAAGTGCTCTTTAAAATGTATATTGTAGGATGAAATGCTTTTTCTTTCACTCCTTCATTCAGCACATACTCATTAATCCTCTGTAAATGCAAGGCACATGCTAAGTTCTGTAATACATTAAAGATACACCAGACATGTAGAGTGTTCTCAAAAAACTTTATTAAATGTACTAGGTTTGGCTTACTGAGATTAAACACGTATACAAGTAACTGTAATTCCAAAGTGGAAAGTATAAATTCATGTCAGAGAGTGGTCTTTTTTGTGGCCTGGTGTGGTGGCTCATGCCTGTAATCCCAGCACTTTGGGAAGCCAACGTGGGCACGTCACTTGAGGCCAGGAGTTCGAGACCAGCCTGGCCAATGTGGCGAAACGCTGTCTCTACTTAAAAAAAAAAAAAAAATCGCAAAAAAACAGTGGTTGTTTTTCATTTTTATGAAAATATGGTTTTCGTACTTTTAGTATAGAATAATCTCTTTTTTTACTTCAGACTTTATAATGTTATATTTGATCTTTATTACAACAGGGATACTACAAATAGGAGGGAGAACAGTTTCACAGTTCTCCTCCTTGATATTTCCTATCAGCCTCCACTTTTCTTTGGGTTCTCATCTGGAGCTACATGGATTCTGGAGCAGGGTTCCTTGTAGTGAGCCACCTAGCGTTAAAAGGAGGATTTTTTTTTTTAAATGAAAGGTCGCTTTGTAAACCGCTTGTCTGTTTGAACTTAGGGCATATGTAAAATAACAACTAGCATCTTCATAGCAATTTTTCTTTCATAAAAATCTTTACAGATAGGGTGTGGTGACTCACGCCTATAATCCTAGCACTTGGGGAGGCCAAGGAGGGTGGATTGCTTAAGCCCGGGAGTTCAAGACCAGCCTGGGCAATATAGTGAGATCCCATCTCTACAAAAAAATACGAAAATTAGCCAAGCATGGTGGTGTGCACCTGTAGTCCTAGCTACTTGGGAAGCTGAGATGGGAGGATTGCTTGGGTCTGGGAGGTAGGGCTGCAGCGAGCCGTGATTGCACCACTGTGCTCCAGAGGGAGTACAGTGACAGAGGGAGACCCTGTCTCAAGGCGACAGAAAAAAAAAGAGGAAAGATATTTTAAGTCTTTGATATGGTGATATTCAGTACCTAAGAAGACTGTATTGTAAGTGCCTTCTGAATATTTTTTTACTTTATTTTATTTATTTTTTTTAGACTGAGACAGGGTCTCACTCTGTTTCCCAGACTGGAGTGCAGTGGTGCGGTCTAGGCTCCCTGCAACCTCCACTTACTGGGCTCAAGCGATTCTCGTGCCTCAGCCTCCTGAGTAGCTGGGATTACAGGCCCAGCTAATTTTTTTTTTTTTTTTTTTTTCCCCCGGTAGAAACGGGGTTTCACCATGTTGGCCAGGCAGGTCTCGAACTCTAGACTTCAAGTGATCTGCCTACCTTGGCCTCCCAAAGTGCTAGGATTACAGGTATGAGCCACTGCGTTCGGCCAATATTTATTGTTGTATTGAAGAAAACATCCTGAAATGTTAAGAAATCTAAGAAATCTCAAAAGATTAAACGAATAAATCTGAAATGCATTCATATATTTAGCAAATATATAGCTTTGTCTTTTTTGGCTTTTTTTCTTTTAGGAGAAAAGGATCAGATCTGTTCTTGGTTGTTACAGCTAGATATTCTGTATATGTTTTTTGATAAGTTGTTCATTACCTATACTAAAAGGAAAAGGATGTCTTTTCTAAACAATAGTTGTAACATAGCTGATAAACACATTGACAGTTTAGCTTAGCTTGGGTAATTAGCCTAGTGAATAACTTCACCTGTGGTAGGTATGTTGGCTTAATGCTGGAAACCTCCTGTAAAGAAGAATACATCTGATTAGAGTTCTTTCCTATTTCTCTTTTCCCACTTCTTCCCCTCACCCCTGCCCCAATTCTAAAGCCATCATCTTTGTATTTCAGTTGACTGGTGTGCAATATTATGACAGTGTTATTGATTCAGAATATACTAACGTCTTCCTGTTTATATTTGTTTAGCCCTATTTAATTCTTCTTCTTCTTTTTTTTTTTTTTGAGATGGAGTCTCACTCTGTTGCCCAGGCTGGAGTGCAGTGGTGCGATCTCTGCTCACTGCAACCTCCGCCTCCCTGGTTTAAGCGATTCTCCTGCCTCAGCCTCCTGAGTAGCTGGAATTACAGGTGTGCACCACCACGCCTGGCTAATTTTTGTATTTTTAGTTGAGACGGGGTTTCATCATGTTGGTCAGATTGGTCTCAAACTCCTGACCTGGTGATCCGCCTGCCTAGGCTTCCCAAAGTGCTGGGATTACAGGTGTGAGCCGCCGCACCCAGCCTTAATTATTATTCTTACTTAGCCCATCTTAGATTTGAAATTTGATTGCGTTCAATGTGGTTAAAATACAGGCTTTTGAGTGAAATGGTTTGGTAAAGCTTACTTTATATAAATATAGCCATGATAAGCTGTGTGTTATTCTTCAGATTATTAAATATTTGCAATGAGAACGTTGATATCTAAGTATTCTTGCTTTCTATATTGACAGATTATAAGAGAAAATAGTATCTCTCTCAGTGAAATCGAATTGCCTTGCTCAGAGGATTTGAATTTGGAAACTTTGTCGTAAGTGATGTATAATGCAAATTATCTATCCTAGCATCTATCAGATAAATAAATTGAAATATACTATGTAGGAGTCATATTGTCCTTGATTTAAGTAATTCTGAATCCCAGGCGTTTCTAATCATTTTTTATCAGATGTTCATGACGTTGGTTAAAGCTCTCTGAAGTATAGAGCTCTTGCCCTCAAAAAGTAATATTGGAGATTTAACTTGTATGTATTTCTCTTTTATCCTCTCCATTAAAACAAATTGGCAACAATTTTAAAAATTGTTTTTGCTGCATATGAAACGGTAGGCAAGGGGCAAACTTCACAAGTAAGGGTGACCCGATGCTTCTGAAAAGAAAAAATCTGGAAAAAAAAAAAAAGAAACCTGCTGACTGAGTAGAGGCACACTTGATCATTCCCAGAAAGATGTAAACTAACTTAGAGAACTGGAATATTTATTGTTACTTATTTCAAGTTAATTTTAAAGTAAAATAATGACTTAAATTTCTTGTCACCTGTTTTCAGGCAAGCACATGTCTACATAATTGCAGGAGCCTGTTTGTCTCTGGGTTTTCGATTTGCTGGCTCAGAAAACTTATCAGCATTTAACTGTTTGGTAAGAAGTATTTTAGTTTACTGTATTCTTTTTGTTTTGTTTTGTTTTAACAAAGCCTTAAGATCTTCTTTTAACTTTGAATTTTTTCTTTTGTTTTTCTAGCATAAATTTGCAAAAGATTTTATGACTTATTTGTCTGCACCTAATGCTTCTGTTGTAAGTATTTTTATCATTCTCCTTGGGAATAAAATTAAACTTGAAAAAAATTTACTGATAATCCAGTTACTTATGTGTTATCAGATATTGCTGCTGTTTGTTTGAATGTAGAATGAGAGATTTGAAGAACCATTAGCTCATCTTTTTATTTTTGTTTTGGGATATTAGTGAGAATATGATTACACTGGAAGGACGCACAGGTATCTAGTTCTTGTGACAAGAGAATAAGAAAGGCCATAATATTCATGGATTGTCATACCTCATGTAATTCTGTCTCAGCATTAAATATTGGGAATTTCCTTTTAAAAAAATATTAGTACTTAGTAAGGATTCAGTTGCTTTTGAGGCATTGCTTCTCTGATGACAAGACTAAGATATTTTATTTCCTGGTGAAAACTACATAGACTTATGCAACACTGTTTATAATATGGAAAAGTTAGAAACATCAAAAACGTCTAAAAGTAGTTAATTAAATTTGATTATGGCATATATGTGCATTCTTACACAGTGGAGCTACCAAAATTACGTTATACAAGAATTTTTTGTGGCTGGGTGCAGTGGCTCACTCCTATAATCCTAGCAACTTTGAGAGGCTGAAGCAGGAGGATCATTTGAGCCCAGGAGGTTGAGATCAGTCTGGGCAACGTAGGGAGACCCCATCTGTACAAAAAATAAAAAATTAGCCGGGTGTGGTGACACACACGTAGTCCCAGCTACTTGGGAGGCTGAGGTAGGTGGATCCTTTGACCCCAGGAAGTTGAGGCTGCAGTGAGCTGAGACTGTGCCACTACACTTCAGTCTGGGTGGCAAAGTGAGAGACCCTATCTCAAAAAAAAAAAAAAAACCACCAAAAAACCCCCACTTTTTTTGTGCGTGAAGCTTGCTTCTAATAGGTTATTTAAAAGGTTAAAAATATTGTGTAGAGTAACATCTCCATTTCATTTGGAAAAAATATGTGTAGATAAAGGAAAAATTCAGAGAAAAAGCCAAAATGTTAACACCAGTTACCTTTGGGCGTGACATTCCAAGTGATTTTTGTCTTCTTGATATTCAGTATTTGAAATTATCTCCGTTGAACTTACATAATTGGGGAAAATATTTGTATTTACAGATTATTTTTTTAGTTCCAAACTTTTGTAGTCTTCTTATGATGGCTAAGTTAGTTCTGATAATAAAGAAATGTAACACAACATTACAGTGATGTCATCTCTTCACCTTGCAGACAGGTCCTTACAACCTAGAAACTTGTCTGAGCGTGGTGCTGCTGTCTCTCGCCATGGTCATGGCTGGCTCGGGAAACCTAAAGGTTTTGCAGCTTTGTCGCTTCTTACACATGAAAACGGGTGGTGAAATGAACTATGGTTTTCACTTAGCCCACCACATGGCCCTTGGACTTCTATTTTTGGGAGGAGGAAGGTAAGTGAATATGTATTTTTTCCAGTGAAAAGATCTCATTGGTGAGATCTATAAGGGTGACTTGCTTTAATCTTGAAGATACATGAAAAATTTCAATTCTGACTAGCTCTTAGCTTATCTAGCAGCGTTATTGCACTTGCTGGGCTTCTTTGTAGTTTAACCATCGGCTTATGGTCTGCTCAGTAGATTTCCCTTCCTCTCTGACACACTGAGCATCACTGTTATTTCTCAGAATACTCTGTGCTCAGTGCTTCGGCGCATCACTGCTTGTGCCCAACTGGTTAAAAATTTTACCGCTCCACTAAACTACTTTCACAGAAAGGTCACAAAATCATATACAGATCCTGTGACATTTTCTTAGTTTTCAACTTTCTTGATCTTTTTCCAACATCTGTCATTCCTGACTACATCCTTTATAAGACTGCCCTGGCTTTAGATGATCCGTAATAAATAAAAACACATACATAGAAAAGTCTACACATCATAGGTGCACAGGTCAAAGAGCTATCTACCATAGAAAAATCTCTTCGTTATCATGTAGATCAAGATTCCGTATAGCACTTGCAACTTATGACACCCGTCTCTGCTTCTGCCATGCGCCCCCTCAATCACTATTATCTTCCTTACCCCAAAGATAGCCACTGTCTAGTCTTATAACACCTTAGATTGGTTTTGCCTGTTTTTGACATTTAAATTGAATTATGCATGATGCATCCTTTTGCACTTTACTTTTGCTCAACATTATGTTTGTAAGATTCATGTTGTGTGTAGCAATGGGTTATTCAAGTTTCAGTTTCTTGTATTACAAGTTTCAAGTTGTAATACAAGTTATATTTCAAGTTGTAATTGTAATTCAAGTTGTATTACATTTCATTGTATGATTGTACCACATTTTATTGATCTCCCCCATTGATGGATGTGCTTCTTGCTTCTAGTTTGAGGCTGTTATGAACAATGCTGTTAGGGAAAGTTGTACATGTCTTTGATTTTGTTGTATATAGATCTCTGTGTGGAATTGGATCATAGGTTATAGGTGTGTATTCACCTTCAGTGAATAATACCATCAGTGCTGCAGTGCACTTGTACCATTTTACATACTCATGGGCAGGATGTGATATTCCAGTTGTTCCACATCCTTGTCAACCCTTGTTATTGTTATAGTCTTTTTAGTTTTAGCTAACTAGTAGGTATATAACAGGATCTCATGGTGGCTTTAATTTCTGTATTTCTGAATCATGTTCTTGAGTACCATTTTATACGTTTAACAGCCAACGGCAAAACCTCTTTTATGATGTCCAAGTCTCTTGCTACCCAGTTTTTGTATTTATTTAAAAATTTTTATTTGTGGTAAAGTACACATAACATAAAATTGATAGAATTTTAAGTATGCAGTTAAGTAGTGTTAAGTATATTCACATTGTTGTGCAGCTAATCTCCAGAAATTTTTCATTTTGCAAAACTGACACTCTACCCATTAACAACTCCCTGTTTGCCCCTCCCACCAGCCTCTGGCAGCCACCATTCTACTTTCTGTTGTGATGAGGTTGACTGCTCCACATTGGTTTAGCTTTGTATTGATTTCTGTGGATTCTTTAAACTATGTCCTAAGCCCTTGGTCGGTTTTGTTTGTTGCAGTTATCTTTGCCACCCCAGGGCTTGTTTGCCTTTTCACTCTCTCAGTGGTGTCTTTTGATGACATAATTATTAATGTTTTTCTTTTATAGTTTTTACTTTTTTGTCCTGCTTATGAAATATTTTCTTGCCCAGAGAAAAGGAGATATTCTCCTATTTTATCTTCTAGAAGTTTTTAGCTTTTCCATTCACATTTGGATCTAAAATCTACCTGGTACGGATTTTTCTCCGTGTTTTTTTTCCCACTGCTATTGAAAAGTTTATCCTTCTCCACTGCTCTGCAGTACCACCTCTATTATATAAGTTAAGTGTCTATACACCTGTGTTTATTTCTGGGCTATTAGGGTCTACTGGTCTGTTTTTCTGTACTTGCACCAGTACTATACTGTCTTATGAGTCTTGGTATCCAGTTGAGTAAATCCTTCAACCTGAGTTTTCTTCTTCAAAAGTGTGTTTTTCTCTTGGCTCCTTGCATTTTCATATAAATATTGGCGTCTGTTCCATGCTATATAACCTGATAAAATATTGATCAGAATTGCTTTGATTCTGTGTGTCTGTGTTAAGATTCTATGTGTCTGAGATTAGAATCTGTTACAGTATTGTCTTCCATTCTGTGAATATGGTATACTCCTGCATATATTTAGCTCTAGTGTGTGTGACCTTGATCAATGGCCACAATGTCTACGTAGGCTAATTTTCCCCTCTTCTTTAAGACTGTGCTCACCATTGGAACTCACCTTTTCAGAAGTACAAAAAGTAAAGATGATCAGAAAGGTGTGCATTTCCTCTCAACATGTTTTGTGGAATTGTCTTTCTTTAATTGTGTAGAATTAATAATGGTTAAAGAAATATTACTATGAAAATTCTTATTTTATTCTATGATTTTTGAAATTTTTTTTCCTTTCAAAATGAGCCTCTCCATGTCTCTTACTCCACATCTTTCATTGTTCCAAACTGTATGACTCTCGTTGCTCTTCTTTCGTATCGAATAGATTTTTCTACCATTCTGCTACTGCTTTGCTAGTGATTTTTGGTTTTTAAATGGTCATATATGTTCTCTAACAACATTTAAACTTAGCATAGCTACACCATTATGTTTCTACCCAAAATTTCTAACATTAATATCTTAATATTTATCTTTGAATTTTGGTTTACCAAAATGGTACAAAGAAAATGGCTTATTCCATGTACATGCCAAAATAGATGTATTTCTTTGCTTAAAATTTGAAATCTCTTCTCTCTAATCCATTAAATACATAAGCATATGTAATGAATTATAAGTTCTTATTTAATACTCCAATTATTTTAAAAGACAGGGAAAGAGATTTGGGTGTATGTGTGTACATGTTTGTGTGTAATAAAAATATTTATATTTAATAGTTAGAAGTGGTTTTATGTGATGTCCTACACCATCTTTAATTCAAAATATTTTTTAGAAAAACTCTGAGACTTTAGATTAATTTGCCAGTTTGCTATACTGAATTTGAGCAACAATAAAGTAATTTAAGGAAAATTTTAATAGACCCTTTACCAAGAGAATATTTTAAAAGTCTATAAAACTTTATCTTAAAAGTGTATCATATTGGCGAGAAAAGAATTTATATTTGGAAGAATAGTTGTTTATACAGTCATTGTAAGTTTTTAGTGATAACTTTTGCCTTTTCATTTAGTCAGTCATTCTAAAGGAATCCTCATGCTTTACAGAAATAAAAAAAAAAACTGTTTACATACCAACTAAAACATCCTGTATTTTTAAAAATGAGATTTATAATTGTATAAATAGGCATACATATTAATAAAATTGGATAAGAAGGTGGCATACTTGGTACATGAGTCTTCAATATTTATCATTTCTAGGACTGTATTCATGGTCTTCACTACTGTGCTATTGTATGTTAAAACCTTGCTTCAAGAGTTGAAATCTAACATTTATGGGATATTACTTTGGCTTTAAATAGTGATGATCTTGAAATGGCCTAAGGACTAAATGAAAAGTGGAATGTTCACACCACTGACACTCTTGTATTATGAGGGCATCTTATCAGTATGCCTTACTATACCCCAGTTTCCTGATTCTCAAGAATGCCTTGAAAGTATGTAATGTAATCGGTAACATCTGTCCCCACCAAACTTACTTTGCAGGTACTCTTTGAGCACATCAAATTCTTCCATTGCTGCTCTTCTCTGTGCCCTTTACCCACACTTCCCAGCTCACAGCACTGACAACCGGTGAGTCTAGTGATTCTGTCTTCAATGTGATACTTATTAAGTTCTCGAAGGGGATCATTTGGTTGTATTTTGGTTTCATGGAATTATTTCCAAATTAGCCTTGTTCTGTTCTTCAACTTATATTTATGGCTAAATCTTTTAAGAAAATTATCTCACAAAGTATTAGACCAGAGGATAACTTTGGACACCTGATGACTGACCAGTCTTCCGCCGTTCTCAGATCTGTAGAACTGCTCTAAATCCAGAAGATTAAGTAAAGTTGTCTTTAGGGAAAAAATCATCAGGTAAAGAATAGTTGCCAAGGGAAGTTCAAGATACTTTTTTGTGCTGTAATTATTTAATTCCAAGAGAAAAGTTTGTCTGATTTAGTGGCAATGTCTGTATGAGTTCCTTTTTTCCCCTCTTTCACATAAATGGCGAGAAATTTTGTATAAATGACATAGAAGGCACAAGAAAAGCAAAATACAGCAAAAAACCAGAGATAATTTAGAAGTGGCAATGGGCAGTAGAACTTCAAACCGTGTAGAAGCAGTTAAAAGCTCTGCATTTTAGGGTACGAGGAACCACCAACACCTCAGTTTCCCTAGATATAGTTTGAGATATAGCAGATCTCTTGCATATGGGGGAAGGGAAGAAAATAGCCCCTTGTAAGACACCTGAGCACTGTGCTCAACTGAAGGCATCCCCTGTTGTCTCCCCAGAGACAGGTCAAGAGCCCTTTATTGTTTATGGGAGAAGGGTCAGGAGCACTTATGACAGTAACATAAGTCATCATTTTAAACTGCACTATAATGTATAATGAATGACAGAAGAAAGATAGCTGTTTTACAAAAGTACCCTAATCTGAAAACCACACTCTGATGGTAGGTGCAGCACAAGAATATTGTTGTTAATACACCTCTGCTCATGGCCTGTCCACTTAGGGAAAAGATTTTTTGAAGTTGTTAAAAGCCAGTTAATTGCTAAGGGTAGCAGTGGAGAGCCACACCAACCGAGTCGCTGTTTGGTCATAGGCTATTTGGCTGTAACTATTGTAAACAACAGCCACTTGTGTGACAAGAATCTTTTTTGTGTGTGTGGGGGATGGAGTCATCGCTCTGTCCCCCAAGGCTGGAGTGCAGTGCCGGTCATCCAGCTCACTGGCCAAGGCTCCGCCTCTCTGCGTCTCATCGGCATTCGTCTCTGCTCAGGCCTCCAAACCCCGAGTAGCTCCTACAGGCGCCGCTGCACCAACGCCCCGACCTCAATTTTGTATTTTTGAGTAAAGATGGGATGTTTCACATTTGTACGCCAAGGATCGGTCTGTAACTCCATGACCTTGGATCCTGCCCGCCTCGGCTCCCACTCCCAAAAGTGCTGGATTATAGGCGTGAGGCCAGCCATGCCATGCTGGTGACCGAGAATCTTATTATGTAGATTTATTAGTGTCCAGTTTTTTCTGATCTTTATTGATTTATACAGCCTTAAATAGATATATGATCAGTAAATGTAAGTTTGTGTAAAGAAACGAGGGCCGAAAGTTAAATTGTCATATAAAGCCTTTTTAAAAACATTGAAGTCCTCATTTTATCCTTCTTTTTTTTTTTTTTTTTTTATAATTAGAGTCTTGCTGATGTTTGCCCAGGCCTGGAGCGCAGTGGCCGTGATCCTCGGCTCCACCTGCAAGGCTCCGCCTCCTCGGCATTCACGCCATTCTCCTACACCACTTC